AACAGGCCCAGCCCCTCCCTGTCCATTTCTCCTAATTCAGGACACGTGGAAGGTAAATGGCCTGTGCTTAAAGCAGGCCAGCACGGGCTGTGACAGCTGGGGAGCCTGTAAGGCTCAACGGCCTGCTAAGAGGAGTGGATGTCAGAGCTCACCAGGGGAGGGAAACTGGGAGGCGCTGGAGATGCTGGAAGGTCACCGAGAAGCCCGAGATGAGGTCAGGAGGGGCACGGCTCACCGACTGCATGGAAACTCCACCAAACCATCAGGATGCCAAGAAATGCTGGAAGTGATCAAGCAGCAAAGGACTTGGATGTGATTCCCTACCCCTAATGAAGGTGGTTTCCCCTTCTGGATCACAAAAAGGCTGAGGAGCGAAGGGTTTTAGTCTTTTAGGGGACACCTGAGGAGCTCCTGGTGTCTCCCCGGGATGCTGCCTCCTCTCTTTGCAAGCTCGAGGGCGTGTTTCAGAGCTAAAAAAGCAGCCTGGAAGCTTCACGTGAGATTTGGGCATGGAACAGGAACACACACACAAAAAACAGCAAAAAGGAACCCCCAAAAAACCAACAGGCTCTCCCTGGCACTCCTCCGACAGCTCTTTGCAGAAGGGAGACCTGTCAGTGCTCCCCTTACACAAATCTCTTCTCCCAAGGAAATCAAATGAGTTTGTGAGCCTGAAAAGACAGACTGCACCCAGAAATTACCATTTGGGGTGTCAGCCAAGGGACTTCCCGAGGTCACAATAAGCAGGGAAGCCCTCGGGTGCCGTGGCATCCACCTCCTGCTCCAACCCAGCCAAACTCCCGGTGCTGGGAGCAGCCCAGGCCCTGGGCAAAGCTGGCTCCGAGCCTGTGCTGGGGGTAAAAGAACTGCTGGTGCAGGTGGCGCCTGGTTTGTAGGACCGGAGGGAAAACCTGGCACCCTACAGCACGAGAGGGAGCTGTCGGAGCCACTATTTTTAGCCCCGGTTGGTGGGGAGAGAAAAATCCTAATCATCAGCAGAGCCTGGGCCAGCCCCGTGGCTGGAGGGCAGCCTGAGCAGGCAAAGGGTCGTGCCCGAGGAGTAGGGCAGGGCTGCAGCAAAAAAAAAAACAAAACACAGCGTTGACACAGCAAGGGAAGAGGCGTGGAGGTGATGGAGCTGCAGCCGAGCAGCCCCTCTCTCCGCAGGGCACCGTGTGCTTGAGACGGAATAAACGTGGTTGAGCCGAGGCTTGCGCCAGCCAATTTCATTCAGCATTCATCAGGGCCCTGCTGTTGACAAGAATTCATTCATGCCCAGTGATTTGTCCTCTGGGAAACACCTCTCCTCCTTCCTGGAGCTGCTCCACGCACCCAGGACTTCGCTCGCCTGCTCCAGCTCTCCTTGCTGGCTGCCATCGTCCCCTCTCCTGCCCTGCCAGGTGACACGCACCTGCAAAAATTAAATTCCTGGCTTCTCCTTCAGCTGGTGATTAAATTCTGCCTGGTTCAGGGCAGCACTCATTAAAAAAATAAATGTTTTCCTACCAGGAAGGTGCTATAGAAAGCTCGACTTCTTGTCTGCCTGGACTCAAGCAGCTCAGCAGCAATTTGCCAAGCTGCTAGCGACTGGTTTGGATCCATCCTCCTTCAAAAGAACACCTAACGGGGAATTTATTATTTAAAGATTGTGACATTCACAGCAGGTCAGCCTCCCAGCCCCTGCTTTTCCCCTTTTCTCATGCAGAAGAAGCCCCCAGGGATCAGGGTGCTGCACCTCCCTGTCCCCAGGCAAGCAAAAAACGAGAACAGGCAGCTCCTGGCTTTGCCCTTGGTGGCTCCCTCTGCTTTTTACTCTTGAGGAGACGCCTGGAACAGCACCAGAAACAGGACCTGGGCTCCTGCCTTCCCCTCCTGGCTGTGCTTTCACCTGTAAACAGCTCACCCCGAGCCTGCCGGGGCTGGCAGCCGCGCGTTTCCCATCTGCAGCGAGGGTGGAGGCAGCTTTCCACCCACACCTCCTTGATTTCACGGGGGAAGCTGGGCAGCTTTGCAGCAACTCAACCACTCCTGGTGCAGAAATCGCCAAAAATGGGGCGGCTCCGGTGCAACGGGGCCCCCCTCGTCCTAAATAACCCTACGGGAGCATTGGTCGTGGGGTAGCCTGCAAGATGTGGCCCTGCACTGATGCCTCACCTCTGCTCGTAGAAGCACGGAGCCTGCTAATCCCCCTGCTCACGTCAGAGCCCTAAAGCTCCTTTGGTCCTTTCTGGGTTTGTTCTGACGACCGGAGGGGCTGGAGAAGGGCGAAACTCACAGCAGCTGGAGCTTGGAGCCCCTCTTGTCTTCAGAGCAGCTCCCCAAAACGTCGCACTACGCAAAGCCACCAAGCCCGAGCTCCTCGGGGCGGCACCGCGCTCTGCTCCAGCCCTGCGCAGGCACAGGGCTTCATCAATATTTCAGCATCGAGTCAGGAAGCCTGCAGCCAAGGCAGCTTTCAGGATCGATGCCGAACAAAAGGCTGCGGCACGAGGACGTGGAAGCGAGGCTCAGCCTCGGGTGCTGCCACGAGCCCATTCACCTGCTGGGAATTTGACTTTAAACCCGGTTATTTCAGACCAAAACATCCGAGGCTTCAAATTCAGGGTCCAGCATCCCGGCTCGGAGCAGCACGAAGCCGTAAAGCTCTTAGCTCGTTTGACACAACATTGGGGAGGGAGATTTTATTTCCCCTCGCTGTGGATGTGACCCACCACGAGATTACTCACGGCCCTTTCGCAGTCGAGCCCCGCTGCCGGGCTCCCTGCAAGGCTGAGCTTCGTTCCAGCCTCTGAGACGCACAAAAAAACACAGAATTTGCCTTTTTTTTTAGCTGGATTCATTCTCTGGGGTCAGTTAATTGTTACTCGGGTGCCAGAGCGTGGATGGGGAAAGTATTTTATCAAGATAAAACAAACAAAAAAAAGAGTAATTAAAGCTGGTGGCTGCCATCAAGAACTGAAACACCTTCCCTGACCCCAAGCAAATTCGTTCAACTACTTTCCTGGTTTCCCTACCAATAAATGGGGATAAATTTATGTCCCTTCCAGGGAAAACTGCACGGGTATGGGATCAGAATCCCTCAGAAACAAGAGGACAGCACCCAAAATATTTCATCCCCACTGCCCCAAGGGACCGAGTGCCCAGGACGATGCTTGCCCTCACCCCCAGGGCTTCGGGGTATGGAAAGAGGCAGAGCGAACCCTCGGCGACAGCACCAACGCCGAAAATCCATCCCAGCCCCAGCCAGAGCCAGCAGGAATGGATACCCGCATCTCCTCCGGCCCCAGGGGGGGATAAATTAGCTAGTTACGTAAGGAAACGACCGGGCACGGCGCTTCCAAGGGCTGCCCGAGCCCTTCCCCTTAAAGGCCGCCGGAGATTAGAGCGAATCGAAGGGTGGAAGCGAGGCGAGGGGCTGCGGGCGAGGCTCTGCACGGAGGAAAACGCTGCAGTCTCTCCCCTTAATGCACTCTAAATCCCAGCTGATTTCCAGCTCCGCTGTTAGAAAAAAAAAAAAACACACAAAAAACAAAGGAGGAAAAAAAAAAGCCCAGCATTAATATCGTTTTAATGCACGCTGGGCAAGCGAGGTGGAGTGACTCAGGGCCTGGAAGGGTGGGAGGTGTTGAGGGGAAGCATCCAGAGGAATCCAGAGCGTGAAAGCATTTTGGAAGCTGACCAGAAGGAGCCGGGGTGCAGATCTGCTTAAAGGACACCACGGTGCTCCTACAGATCTGCTGTTGCTGCTTTCGAGCATCCAGGCTCAGATTCTCCCTTCGATAAACGCTGCTCGCCCCCCTCACGCCCAGCAGGCAGGGAAATAGAGCTGTGAAACACAACCCAGGGCTGCTCATCCCTCTGCTCTTCCCTCTCTGCATCCCAGCAGCGAGGCCAGGGCTGGGATTTAATTTCTGCTCCCTCTTCAGGCTGGCTGACTCCACAGCAAGAGGCATCGAGCGCAGCACCCTGAGCAAAGCCACTCTTCCTTCCCTCCACTCCCCCGTTCTCTCTGCCAGCCAAGTGCTGATGTTTTAGGATCAGAGCATTCCCTACGAGACGAGGATTGGGATGGGAGCCAAACCCGATGTCTGACCGAGGAGGATTTCTGCTTGAAATGCAAAATAACAAGGCGAGAACTCAGCGGTCTGCCCCCTGGCTGCGCACGCATTTTCCCCCTTTAACAATGACAACCCAAATACCATTATTTTTTTTTTAAACATAACTTCACAGTCCTCATCCTTTCTAGGCTTATTTTGATGCCTTTCCTTCTATTCCATCAAATAACCAGAGAGTTCATCATACAGCAAGACTAGGCAGTAGATAAGCAGGCACACACCAGTGTGTTCCAGTGCCATCCTGAACCAGTTTCCACAAACTTTGTTTTATTTCTTCGCTACCTGCTTAGTCTGGATATCTAGGAAAGTCCCCAGAGCTGGAATAAAGACGCTGAGTGAGAAGCTCGACAGAAAATCCCCCGAACTAAGCCACTGTGCGGTGGCAAGATGGGAAAGGAGGCGGAAGGCAGCACGCCGAGGCTGGCTGCCGACGGGTGACGGAGCAGAAAAGCAACAGTTGGTCAAGAGCAGCCACCGAGCATAAAGGAATAAAAATAAACAATAAAACAACTGGAGAAGGAAGGAAACGAGTGGGTGATACAACGTTGGCCATACTCTCTGCCACTCCGCAGTGAAGTGTTTTGGAGTTTATATGGCACTAACTAGCGGTGTCAACTGAGTCCTGGGTGGTGTACGGGGACAGAACAGGGAGCAATCCTTCCCCAACAAACTAGGGCTGAAGAAAAAGCTGGTGGAAAGGACAGAAAGAGCCCCCAGAACCAGCGAAGCAAACGAAGTTAGCGCTATCCTTTTGCTCTCTGGGCTTTTAAGTCAACCTGAAGGGAGGCAGAGCTATTTCGCTGGGGAAAACTTGGCATTTCAAGCGGAGAGGAAAAAAAAAAACAAACCCTAAAACAGAAAGCCAAAACTTTCCGGCAGCCTTACCATTGGCATCTTGGACTCCGGTGAGCGCTCCGACTGCCGCGGCGGTTTCACCAGATAGGACGATCTGCCCTCCACCTTGGAGAGTGGCTTCAGCAAGTGTGGCTACCGCGTGGGCTGCTGCTTCACTGGGGGGAAAAAAAAGGGAAGGGGAGGGTTAGGAAGGCCACCAGACAACCCTGCTGCAGTAGGAGCTATTTAACCAGGCATTGGTATCAAGAGAACGCACGCAGGAAGGAGGGATTCTCACCAGGGTCTGCTGAAGTTATCCAGAATGGAAAATCTGCAGTGGAGGAGGAATACAAGGGAATAAACTGCTTTTGCTGCCTTTTTTTCAGCTTGCATCCCTCTTAGTTAGAATATCCGTGCCTTCTTTAACATCCTGTTGCCCATGACTTTCCTAAAAGCTTTTGGACCATCCGAGCTGGTTATAACACCGCGTGGCTCCTTCCTGCCTCTGGCTTCCAGCACAAAACTCACTCTTTTGCCACCGGCTCTCTCCAGATTTTCCAACTCCACCTCTCAGTACGGATTCGGGCAGCTCACCTCGTGCTGCAGAAGGCCCAGAGCTCTGCCGTTACCAGGAGCACATCAGCAGCTCTCTATTTAGAGAAGACAGAGTACCTCTCCCCAGCCAAGTGGTTTAATAATTCTTTTTAACGAGTGATCGGTAGCTGAGCACGGCATTCTTAAATTTCCTCGCACGAATGAGGTCAGACCAAAAGGCCCTTCTAATGCAGCAGCCCTGCTGTGAGAACAGCCAGTATCAGGTATTTAGGAAGGAGTGTGTATGATCCTTCCCTTCCTACACCCTCTCAGCTTCCGACAGTCAGCAGCGTATTGATTTCCTACATCAGAGACTGCATCTGGACCATCAGGTTGGATTTTTTCTAATCCCCTTTGAAACCCATTTATATTTATTTATTTTTTTTTGCTTCCCCAACATCCTGTGTCAATGAGAGCCACATTTAATTAGATGACGTGTGAATAAAAACGTTGCATTCTGGCAGTCCAAAGCCTACTCCCTCAGTCTTGCTGGGCAGCCTGTGCATCTGATAGTGCAAGAAATGGAAAATAACAGCTCCATTCTCATTTTCCTCGTGACTTCATAGACTTCCAGTAATCTCTTTTCCAAGCTGAAGAGACAGAGCCCACTCGCTGTGGAAGGGCTCTTCCTGGCTTCCTGATCACTCTTGTCTTGCATTTAGAAAAAAGTCTGGAAAAGGACATTGTTTGAGGGGTGTGTGTGACCATTTCTAACATTATTCAAAACGTAGATGTACAGTGGGTTAGTCCAGTGGCCTGATCCTGCCCTGCTCTCTACACCCTTCCCTGTAATTTCTAATATTCAACTTACTCTTTCTGACAATCCCTGCTCAGCAGGGATTCTTGGAGCTCGCTGAATGGTAACTGGTAACAAACAGTTCCTCGTTGGGTCTATGCAGGAGATATTTCTTCACGCGTGGATTATTTGGCATGGATTGAGATGTTCTATTTGCCATTTCGTTGCAGAGTCCGGGTGCTGTGAGCATCCTTCAACAACTGCTCAAACTCCTCCAGACCCCTTGGATAAATATTAGCTACTCAGAGCATATTTTCACCTCTAAATAGCCCCTCTGTCATTCACAGCAGCTCTTAAGCACTGTTACTGAGCCAGAATATTTTCTTGTTCCGCCTCCCTATCCCTTTTGGTTAATGTCTCTTCTGAACGTGCAGCCACGTGGAGGCAGAGTGCAGGAAGGCCAACTACAACAGAGCAAACCTGGGGGTAAACCCAGACTTCCTGCCCTAACGCTATTTTCCAGATGTTGCACGCTTACTTGAAGCCACTTTCAAGGGCAATTCAGCATTTTAATCATTCGTTAAGGCTGCGCCCCTGAAAATAATAATGACCATACGGCATAAAAGCTGTGCCCAGTTACAGCGTGCTCCACAAACACTAATTAGTTCAGATCAATTAATTAATGACCTCCACTTTGTCCTCTTTTACTAGGAGGCCCATACTTCCCATCCTCAAAGCTGGCAGAGCTGGAAGAGCTGTTAGCTCTCAAGGAATTGCTGAGATCTTCCTACAGGTAGGGGAAAGATCGCAGTCCTACTCCCACAGCAGTGTTTGGTGGCAAAGAAAAGAGAGCACCTGTTCCACATGGAAGGTTTGGGGGGCAAGTCGCCCAGAACTTCTTAAATGCAGGAAAAGGAACTGCTCGTTGTGACCTTAAGAGCCAGAACCAGTAGCAATGGGACAAAATTAAACTGAAAGCACACTGGTTTCAGAAAAATTTCTCCAAAGTACAGAGAAAAAAAATCTACCAACTAGAAACGTGCAGGATACAGATCCTGCAAGCCAGATTCCAGGAGACTGGACTTTTTTTTTTTCCTCTAACTCCATGCCTAGTTACTTTATCTGTTTTTACAGTGTCCTAAAAAATCACTTGGTTTTAAAAGGCAATTTTACAGTGGAACTACTAATAAAAATAATCCTACTCAATCAGCCTTCTATAGTAGCAGAAAAGAACATACCTGATGGACTTGAATCTGGATCACAAACAGAAACAGTTCTAGGGGTGTTTGCAGTTCAGTTGCAACAGCAATTTGGAAGCCAGCTGGTGATGGACCCCAGGATCAAGGTGGCTGCTTTATTTATTTGTGATCCCTGCATAGCATAGGTTTTGGAGCTCTACCCCGACTACCAGAGCTGTGGACTTGTGTCTTGTCCCAGGCCATGTGGCTGCTCAGCCTTTACTCTAACAGCCTTTAGTCCAGAATCCTGAATTGGATGAGGAAAATGTTTTGCCCCCACCTCAGAATCACAGAATTGATTCTGTGATTTCACACCTCAGCAGCGTGAAACCTCCTGCGCTACTGGGGCTGATGCCACGTCCTGTCCTGCTCCCTCCGGATGCAGTCACAGTGTGCCCCAGCCACTTCCAGGTCTTAAGAACACGAAGCAAAGCTTAAACAGCTCCCCAGAGCTGAGCAAGGACTGCTTCCTGCTGCATGGACCTGCAGAGAACTGAACTTTACCACCTTTACCTGTTGGCACACTGAGCACAACGTTCTGTTTTCTGATGAGTGACCGAGGCAGCACACAACTGGTGAAATTTGGCCTTTTAGCAAGGAACTGTTACTAATTCCGATGGATACACACACCAGCGTACCAAAAGGCACTATCAGCACGTTAGGGCTCTTATCAGCAAGCTCAGCCCTGTAACCAGACCCTTGCTGAACCCAAACCATTCAGGGGGTACAGTTACCACCTACCGTATCCCCTTTCAGGAAATTTCCATGTCAGGGTGCTCCTACTGTTACAGTGGAAACTGAAAACTATCCTGCAGTCTCCTGTACGCACGTTGAACTAGGAATTTGCTAAGAAAAAGCCTCTGTGGGACTGCAGAGAGTGTCTTTTTGCTGTCAGAGTGAAAACCTAGAAGAAAGCACTCGTGTGCAGCCTTCTTGCCTTCTCCTCTCTCCCGTACCTGTTGAGTGCCATGGTAACAGTCGCTCCTTGCTGCATCTCCTGAGATGCTGCCACTGCTGCTTCTGCTAACGATGCCACTGCCTGCGTGGCCTCCGATGCCTGCGTCGTCTGGATGGTCATCTCGCCCCCCTGTAGCGTTGCCCAGTTCTGCTCCACCTACGGAGGAAGAAAAAGAAGAAAGGTCCCATGAAACGAGGAAATCAGATAGTTTCAAGAAGTCTTTGGAGAACTTTGCATGTACTCTGACTCTCTCCCAGAGACTCTGACAGGGAAAACAGCTGCTATTCTGCACGTGTTCAACCTTCAAGCGAGAATTTTAGTTCTCGTGCACGTGGAAGGTGCCCCCCCAAACATCTGTGAAGCACCTCACACTCCCACAAACCCCTTTTATTCAGCCATGCCCAGCAGAAAATGGGACAGCAGTCAGATCACTGCCTGCCAGGCACTTTTTAAAGCAGCCACACTGCTGTGGTGCTGGAAGCTCAGCACAGATCACCATCCCACAGGGAAAAGGGCTGCACGTGCCTCCCTGTTTCCATTTGTCTGCACCCATCCCATCATTTTGGGGAACCACGTTCCCATTTAGGATTTATTTGTGCTGGACTTGGCTCAAGCTCTCCTAAAGCTCACAACTGGAACTTGTTTTGCTGCAGTAATGCACTTAATAAATGAAAATGGCCATCCCCAACTGCTTCACTCTCCTGTGCCCACAGTTGACCCTGGGCAAAAGGATCCAAAGCAGGGAGGAAGCAGCAACAGGGCACTGAGACAAGGTGAAAAGAAGCCGAGTTAAGAGAAGGCAAAGTCTTTTAGGCAAGAAGGAACCGAGTCTGAGTGCCTCGAGAGGAAGAAGTCGCAGATGGGAGGGATCTCAAGAGAGTTGGACTGAGTTTGTGCTGCTCCCTAGCCATGCCGAAACCAAAGCAAAGCAAGCCTGAGCAGGGAAAGGTTCCCTTCCTTCCCAGCACCACGCAGCAGGAGAACATCCATATATTCTGCAAATACATGCATTCAGCAGTCAGCTGAATGAATGAGCATCCTGCAAAATGCCTAGGCTGTTTCAAAACAGGGAAGGAGTAAGGCCTGGAAAGGGAGGAGGAATTGTCCGGGCCCTTCTCTGCACCAACACAAAAGTTGGGCTGCTGAGATCGTAGCAAGCATCCCTGCTCTGTGTTGCTCTGCATCCTATAAACACCTCTGCTTACTCAGAGCTAACTCACATCTCCATTCAGCATGACAGCAAGGCAGAAACATCCTTAGATATGCTGCTACCAGGCTGTGAATTAAGCTGCACACAGCAATCCCAGCCATTCACCAATGAAAAAAAAACTTTAGTATCTTTATTTCATTAAATATCTCTTAAACATTTAATTTACAGAAGGAATTAGGTGCCTGTGCTCCCTTAATTTCTGTTTGTTCCTCTGAAAATTTTTCTTCCAGGTGTCAAGAGACATCTGAAGAGGGTTCTGAAAATCCTCAAAGTACTTCAAGGTCACAGCCAGGCTGCTTCCCTTCGCTTCCCAGCTGGAAACAGGGTCTTGTGTAGAACAAAGCTGTTCTGTGCTGCCACCTGTCGCCCTGAAAGCCTCCCTTGCACAGAGCTGACCAGACCCCACTGTTCCTGCACAGACGGTCTGCAGCCAGGCAGCCTGGCACGCAGCAAAGGGGCAGAAAGCTGCCTGCAGCCTCAGGGATTTACAGGAGGGTTAGTGGGGAAAAAGAAGTTAAAAAAAAAAAAAAAGTTTCCTCGTGGTCTTTAAACTTTTATTAACATGATTTAAAAAAGAAGCGGAAAAAATAAACGTGTGCAAGTTTGAGAGGTCAGATTTGAGGGCTGAAGTGGTCTGGTGGAGTCCTCAACTGAAGGAGTTTTGCCCAGTTTTAGAGCACTGGAAGAAGTTTTCACAGTACGTGGCACAGTACTGTGCTCCGTGGTACCTTATGCTGTCTCAAATATAATGTGCATTTATGAAGCTCTCTCCGGTATTCACTTGCAAAACTCTCTAAAAGCTGCAAAAGAAGAGTCCCATTTTGTCCAGAGATCAGTAGCCGAAGAATCACACCATTTGCCCACAGCCATGCAATGTCCTCTGCTAACCACAGGCTCAGGATACCCCCAGGCGTCACCCCCAACCCTGAAGTGGCAAAGCTCAGGATCTGGAGCACACGTGAAACAATTATCCCAAACAAATACAGAAACGTGGATTTGTGTAGCTAAGTCTCTATCTGCTAGAGCAGATCTCCCAGAATTAATGTACAGGACATTAAAACGGGATGAAATTCAGCACTGAGGCTTCTGCCATAACTGTTTGTGTGCTCCTGAGTCAAAACAACAACAGCTCAGCACTTTGTATGTGAAATTTCATATAGTTTTGTATATTTTAACCCTGAACACTGCAGGGTTGGTGTTTTTTTGTGACTTAACTGTGACAAATTTGTCAAATTCTTTGTCAAAAACCCTTACCTCTCCGTCAGTCACTGCGGAGTAATTGACTTGTGCGACGGTGACCGTGGTAGGCAACTCGGAGGCATCAGCCAGCGTGGCAACTGTAGCACCGGTGCCAACCTGCAGGAGCCAAAAAGACGCAGCTGAAGACGTTTTTTTATTGCAGGGAAACGTCCATATCATTCAGACAAAGCGACAGTCAAACGCTCTCAGGTTACAAGGCATGGCATCTACAGAGAATAATAGTAGTGGGCAGAGCTCACGGAAAATCCTGAGCTGTCTCCAAGGGGAAAAAATAACATGTTGAAGCAGTGTCAGCCTGCAGCAGCTTCCAGAGTGGGGACGGGGCCCAGAAGCAAGCTTTGCACAGTCCTAGTGCTGTCCTCTAACCACAGACCCTATTTTCCTAGCCTTGTAAAGAACCAGGATACCACTGCCATTCCCAGGTGTGAGCAGGATGCACAGGTGGAACCAACACGTTTCTCCCACCCCGTGGATGTCGTGTTAAAAAAAAAAAAGGCAAAATCTGGGAGATGTGCAGCCTTGTTTCTAAGCAGAATTAAACCTGTAGGTGCTAGAAAGTCGATGGGATCTCAGGTGCTGGGCACCTAGGAGAACACTATCAAAAGGAAAACGTCTGTTAGCAGGTGAGCAAACAGCCAGCTTGGCAGCTCTACTGGGCCTTGGGGGAGCAGAAGGCTGGGCCAATTCACTGAAAAGCTTTCATTTGAAAAGCAAACAAGAAAACAAAAGCAAAACAAAAATAAAGTCCACGTCCTGAGCTGCCAGAAGCTGCCGCCCCACATGGAGAAGGGAATAGAGCAGCAGCAACTTCTGCTCTGAATCCCCTAAAGCAGTCTGACAAACATCCTTCCCTCAGGGGGCAGCTTAAGAATTACGATATTTATATCTTACACGCTTCAGGTGTAAGAGCAGGGGATGCAGAAGCACCTAATGCCATGGATTAAGACAGATTTCATGCCATTAAAGAAAGGCAGTCCCATCACGTTTCCTCCCGTCACTTCATCCCGTGGCCACCACAGGTTCTGTGTGGCCACCTGAGCCATGTGTCTGTTTGTGAACAGGGATAGGAGCAGGTGTGAGCAACAAAGTTGTGTTTTTGCAGTAGAGAATTACTTCTCTGTATTCCAAGGTACTTGTGTAGTCATAATAAGGAGAAGTGCTAAGTAGATAAGTGGACAGTAGAAGGCCTCACTGTTCCAAAATAAAAGTAGAAGCTTGAGAAAAACAGCCCGAGCAGTGTGAGAACAGTAAAACAAAGATCCCAAGTTCTCAAAACATAAGAAAGGAGAAAGTAAAGGGTTGAAAAGAAGAAAAATTGTACATATATGGTATAGAGGAGCATCGAGTAGCTTGTGAACCTGCAGTACTCAGCCAGGCATCAGATAATAGGGAATAAAAGGTTATGATTTATTTACTAAAATGTGCTCCTGATTGGCAGGATGCCCACCGTTGCAATCGTGAATAAAATAGCTTCACAGAAGATCCTGTCTGAAGAAAATTGAGATGTTTCTCACAGCAGGGAAGAGAGAGGATGGGACTTCTCCTTTGAGCATGAGCGCTGGCTTAATGAGAAGAGATTGATAAAGAGAATTCCTGATGGACAAGGCAAGCTACCAAAAGGAGTAGGTTTGCTCTGAACCACCTCCTAGAGGCATGCGAGTTGATCCTGAGCCAGCCGTGCTGGGAATGCTGGAGGGCTTTGCTCACCTGGATGAGGGACACGGTGCCATCGGGGTTGCTGAAGGTTTGTACCACTGTCTGTGAGGGCACCAGGTGCGCGATGCTGTGCGTGGTTCGTGGTCTGCTGCTGCGTCTGCTGGTCCTCGAAGGCGTAGAGCAGGTCCTCACGGCCGTGCTGCTTGTAGCAGTTCTTCACGATAGTCCGCAACGCCTGGGTCCACGACACCTGCCAGGAGAATCAGGAAGGAGTTGAGAGGGTGTAAAAACTTTCCTGAATCATTTCAATGCTGCTACAGCTGTGATTTGCATGCTTACCTCATCTGGGTTCTTTTCAATAAATCCTCAAACAAAAATGCCCCCAGTACCTAATCCCTCCATCCCCAGGACTTAAAAACTACCCTAAGAACCACTGAATTTCTGTGCATGGCCACAGAACGAGCACACTTGACCAAGGGGAAGGGCATATTTCTCAATCAAATGTTTCTCTGCCTTTCAAGGAATCTTAAGGAATTGAGGCCAACACACAGAAAATCACCTCCACCTTGAAAGGACTGAGGACACAGCGCCTTTTGATGACACGCAGCCATTTCCAGCCCCCAAACATCCCTCCCCACCCAATCAGATCTGCATCAGCGCTGCCCTCACACCCTGGTAGACTCTTTTTGAGGGTCTCCTTGTGACAGGTTGGTGACAACATCACCTGCGTAGGATCCAAAGCTGAAACTGATGCCCAAGACCTTTTCACCCTTTCTCTAGCTTCTTTTTTTTCCTGGCTCCACACATCTTTGATCACTCCCATTAAGCACAAAGGTCCCTCAGAATGGGACAGGAACCCTTCAAGGGCTTCACGAGGCCACGAAACAGACTCTGTAGTAAATTAACTGCATACTTGGAGAGTTGACTGGTCTTAGGCTGCTTCAGAAGGCCACAGAGATGAGCAGATGATGCAGCTAGCACAGGGAAACAAAAACAAACCACGAAAACTGAAGGCAGGACAGACCCGTGGGCTACCCACCCTCTGCTTCTGTTCCTCCGTGCGGACGTCGCTGCGGACGTTGGCCCACGGGATGTCCTCAGGCCACCAGATGGGCTTGCAGCTCTCCTTGCCCCAGCCCGGCTTGCCGCGACCCGTGGAGTATTTCAGCATCTCCGGGATGAAAGCTCGCAGCTGTGCCTGGAACAAAGCACATAAGGTGATGTTTAGGGACACAGCTCTGGTAGTTTGGAGATGCACAGTGCAAAGTTATTGCGTTTCCATTCCTGTTGGAATCATGAACTGGAAGAGGCCGGCGTGCCCAGGACAGACCAACAAATCCTGTGCCATCTCCTCCCGAGATTATGGAACAGCAGAAATAAAATGAATCCAACTAGAATAAGGCAAAACACACGCTGCATTAGCACACTTTTTGGTTCAAACACCACCACGAAGAGAGCTAACCAACCTGAAAGGGGAAGAAAATGATCAGAAAAATGGATGACAGAAAAAAAAATAACATTCAGTGTCCCTACAGCTGCAAGAACTCTATTTGAGCTGCTGTACATTTTATGGGGATGTTGCAAAAAGGACAGAGCTTCAGGGAGCTTCTCCAACTTAAAGACACTCTTACCTGTTCTTCCCTACCCCTGCAGAACATGACACCCACTGGACTGATTTTCTGAATCTGTTTTTGACTTTTCCCCCAGCGGGGACACCTTTCAGCCCAGTTGTGCTTTTCCTTAGCACCCACAGACACCGGCCAGCTGCTGACTGCCTTTACCATCAGGAGACCATGCCTTAGAAAGAGAGATTTGCACAGCAAATTGAGCTGGCATTCCTTAAAATCATTAAAGAGTACATAAAACTCACACAGGGTGCTGTGGCATGTTTGGGTTTTGTCCTGGGCACTGCCTGGAGGTGCAGGAGGAGGTTGGTGCAGCTGTAGGGCTGAGCAGGAAGAGCACAAGTGCACACACCAAGTTAAAATGTGTTAACTTCAGGCTAGCTAGATTCATTTCTCAATGCCTCCCTGCTTCCCTTTGGAGCTTGCCATAAAGCCATTTGAGTTGTGCTGTCCTGGAGTGCAACATTTCATGGTCTGAACTTTTGGGTAGACCTGTGCGGTGTCAAGAGTTGGACTTGATGATCCTTAAGGGTCCCTTCCAACTCAGGATATTCTATGATTCTATGATTCTATGATTTGTCGGAGGAACTGGAGGCTGCAGAGTTCCTGACCCTGCTAAATGCACCAAGAGCTGCAGCAGCTCTTCGAGGCCAGAGCCCAGCCCCAAGATGTGACGTTGGGCTCTGGTTTGCAAATCTAAGGAGAAAAACTGAAGTGTGTTTCGATAAAAAGCAAACAATTCGTTTGAATGCATGATTTGCTGCTTGCACAGTTCGCAGCAGTGGCTAGGGACCTTAAAGGCAATAAAAATCCGGTTTACTCATGGGTCTGGACATGGTGTGTCTGCTGCCACCCTAAAAGAACCTCTGCTGCTCAGCAAAGCGGCTGCATTTCAGCCCTTCCATCATTTCTGAGCTAAGGGCAAGCCCAGGAATGGGTCAGAGCCTGCTAGAGATGGAGCAGCCCCTCTGGAGCAGCCCCCACCACCCCATGGGCATCCTCAACCACCTCAGGGCTGGTGAACCAAACCCCAAATTATAAACTGGGGCAGAGAAAAGCCAGCAGCTCACTCGTGCACCACTGCGGTGCCTTCCCTTCCAGCCCGGGACACAGCCTCCAGGTGGGTGAGGTTTGCTTGGCTCAACAAACCTGCTGATGGCATCGAGTCGCCTGGAGGAACAATGGTTAAACATCTTCCCAGAATCGCTGCCTGCGAGCCCTGCTCCTTGTTAACAGATGGATTAATTACTGGTCCCGGGGAGTTGAGCAGCTCCAGCGACTCAAGGCACTCGTTAAGGAGGGCTCGCCTTTAATCCGCCAGGGAGACAATCAGCAGCGACGCCGCAGCCTGCTCCAGCGCCACGACGTCTCTAATTAGTGCTGTAACGAGACCTCAGCCCGGCAGCTCGCAGGGGTGAGAGACAAAGACCCCGCGTGTCTCACCCTCTGCAGTCTGGGGGAGCCACCTTTCTGCTGGCTGCAGCCACAAACCAGCCAAAAAGCAAGTTTCTTCCCCAAAAAGCACGCAGCTCGCTCCTGTTTGCACCTGGAAAAGGCTCCTGTCATCTCCAGCATCAAGAGAAACCGCAGGAAAGTCTCCTCGACTGCTGAAGTGCCCCCACCGATGCCCTGCACGGAGGGGTCTGCTCACAGATTTATTTTTTTTGTGCATATCTCCCTTCTTTTCCACCCTGAAAGTGTGGTCAGGTCATAAATAGGAATCGCTGAGGAGTTCTAAAGGGTCAGAGGGGTGTGTTTGGGGACCAGGCAGGGTCACCACTGCTTGCTCTTGTTGGAAACGATGCAGGTTTTGAGCTTTTGAGCTGAAACACTGCAAAAGCAGGATTCTCACCCTGGGGTGCCTCCACTGCGAAACAGGGATGCTCTCCTTCCTCCACCTCACTGACCTGCAGGCATTGAGTATGATTTTTGAGGCCAAGACAAGCTTTGCTGGCTTGTGTAAGCACCCTGCGAACCACAGGTGCTCGTTAGGTTAAGAAAAGTGAAATTAAAGAACAAAAAAAGTGAAAATTAAAGTGACATTTAGGAACAAAACGCCCCTTGAGAAAAGCACGGACAACTTCTCGTGCCTCTCAGCGAGAGCTGACTGATGCTCTGGCCTCAGCATCACCCAAGCTTCCTCCTTAATGCTATCAGAGAGCCACGGAGAACACCGAGGCTGAGTTTTTATACGAAGCTCAGCTCTGCCATGGCATGCACGTCGCCAAAGCCCGTAAAGCAACGAGACACCTCTATAAAATGGCTCCGGGGGAAGAGCCCGGCTGCAATGCCTTGTTTTTTGCACACTTAGGTGGGTGATGCTCTTCACTCAGAAGCATCTCTGCTCAGCAGAGGCTTTATCTCCCTCTAGACCACCACGGAGGCAGAGCAATTAACCAGGGAGTGACTTTTGCCTCCTATTTTGAGGAGCCAACGCCTCTGCCACCTGCCTGCAGGCCACCTGCAGCTGCTTGGAGCAGGAGCTTCGCTTCTCCCCTCCCAGAGACACCTCTGAATTGTGCTGCCCAATTTCTACCCGTAAATATTTTGGTTTTCCACGGGCTTTGTAGTATTTAGTCAAAAAAAGCTCGTTTTTTTGTTTGCAGATAAAGAGAATTCCATCAGCAGCTCCGGGAATCCAAATTCCTACAAAAACCAGCAGCATCTCCTTCCACGCACCAGGCTGCAGGGATTTGGGAGTCAGCATCCCCACCACCACCTCTAACTGATGTATTTCAAACCCCATTGTGGCAAAGAAAATAAAAGTTGACAGTATTGCAGCTTTATCACGCTCAGCTTCTCTGTGTTGTGTTTCTATTTTAAAAGCCTGGCCCTGAGTCTGGCAAAGACTACACAGCAGCTGGAGTCCTTCAAGAGCAAAATTATCTCGTACCCACCACTCGCACCATCCTTACTGCCTGAATTTTGCCAAGGAGGAACACCTGCTGCGTTGTGAAAACCCGAGCCTGGAGTCCTGTCAGTTAAATCTGCTGAGCTGTCCTCAGATGGCCTGCGGGCGGCTCCAGGATCTGAGATTTCTAAAGAAGACTTCCAAAATGTGAGGCTGCCCCCAGCCCCAGCCAGCCTGGCCTTGGGCATCCCCAGGGATGGGGCACCCCCAGCTCCTCACCACCCTCAGAATAAAGAATTTCTTCCTGATTTCTAATCTAAACCTATTTTCCTCCAGATTAAAGCCATTTCCCCTGCCCACCCCGACACAGAGTCCCTCCCCAGCCCTCCTGCAGCCCCTTCAGGCCCTGGCAGCCCTCTGGGAGCTCTCCCTGGAGCCTTCTCTTCTCTTCTCCCTGCTGAGCACCCCCAGCTCCTTCAGCCTGGCCCCACAGCAGAGGGGCTCCAGCCCCTGAGCATCCTCCAGCACCCCAGATCCTTCTCCTCAGGGCTGCTCTCCACCCAGCCTGGATTTATGTTTGGGATTGCCCCAAGCAGGCCCACACCTCGCCCTGTCCACAGCTTAGGAAAAGCCTTCACGAAGCTGTTTGGATTCAGATTTTGGAAGGAAGGAGGCTATTCCTAACGGGAGGCTTGTTTTACCCTAACGGAGAACGGGAGGGCTTGAGATAAGAGGCTCCAAGTTGCTGTGCTGTTGCATCAGCAGGCTGCGTGCTTGATGACAGAACGCCCTGCAAAATACAGAGGGGGGAGGAAAAAGGATTTCTGGTGTAACAGTTCTACAAGGAGCCTGGGAACGCAGGAGTGGTGCATCTGGGAAAGAAAAAAAAAAGGAAGAAAAAAGCTCTGCCAGCAACTACTGCCTTAGATTGGACACACAAAGCAACCAAACCCCAGGGGCAACGTGGCTCGGCCAAATCTTTGTGCAAGGTTTCCTGAAGACCAAGGCCACGTCACATACTTGCAAGGAAAAAAAAAAAAACAAAAAAAAAAAACAAAACAAAACAACAAACCTGTTATTGTTATCTGAACAAGCAAAGTATTAGTGTTTTATTCAGAGATTTTAGGAGGGGAGGTTGCACGGCTGTGTCCGGAGGAAAAGCAGAGAACACCGAAGCACTCCTTAACATGCTAAAATATTTAATTTCCAACTCTATCATAACAAATAAACAATTTGTATTATAAACCCAGTGGAAGGGTTCTCTGAAGTGAGAGCTTGGCACTTTTATTGCTGCTTTGACAGCACGTGCAACGTTAACAGCCAAGGAGACCTTTTCATGGACCTGTTTACTCTTGCACATATTCCACACGCTGCAGACCAGTTCCTTGGACGTGTCACTGGTCTGCAAAAACTGGACTTCCTGACCTCATTCACCCACCTTCACTGCTCTTATTTCTTTCACTAGCAATGGCTCATTTCCTTGTTATTTCCTCAGAGCCCACACGCTGCGGGTGCAGGCACCTTCACTGCTCACACCACGTGGGGATGGCTTCCCCCTCCCTGAAAAAAATCCACCTGCGATGCCTCCATCTCCTTGTTTTTAAGTCCTAGGCTCTTCTGTTTAATTACTACGATGACAAGGTGATAGAAAAACTTTTTGGTTGCTTTTCTGAATGCCAGAACTCCGTACTGGTGCTTTTAAAGTAAAATCAGAGACCTCCAGAACAGCAGGGTGTTTTGGGAAACCATTAACCACCCAAACCAAGAGCTGCCTTCCAACAGCTCTGAGCCAAGCTGCAGGTACCAGCCCGGTGGCTTTCAAAACTAGCAACTCAGTTTTGCTCTGTGTTGTCATGGATTAGGAACGTGATCTGTTATACCTTAAGGCACAGGAGCTTTTGTAAAACTGCGCAAGAAAGTGTGAGTCTGTCTGATTATGCCCAAGCACAGGAGCTGGTGGTGTGACCAGCAGGTGATGGTTCTGCAGGGCACAGTGGAAATCAGAACATCTTTGCTGTCACACTGCTTGTATGTTGTCCCAAAGCCCCCAAATTTTCCATCTTGCTGCTGGCTTCCAGCATTTCAAGTGTATTATGATGCATCGTGCTGAGTTCAGGTCCTGCACCCCCTGGGGAAGGAGAATTCCCTGCAGGATCCCTCCCACACCAAGGAAGTTTCCCTCAGGGGCCCCCTCTTCTTCTCCCCAGCAGTAAGGTTGGCAAGGGGCTGGACCTGGACAGAAAGGGAGCCCCCCAAATCCAGACAACTCCCTGGCTCCATCAGCAAGATCTCGAGGTTTGATGTGGAGTTAAGCAAATTAACAAGCTCTTCTCTGCTCCAGCCCACGGCAGGAAGAGGAAGATGGCAGGAATTAGAGCACACAAGAAACACCCAAGGAGGATGAGCCAAAATGGTACTGCAAAAGCCACCTCCCTGACCTCAGTGCCTAAAAATCACTGCGAAGTGCAGAACAAATAGCTTCCTGTTCACAGCACATGGGAGGTGAGAAGAACAGCTCAAAGGGGAATGCTCCCAGCAGCCTGACCTCGAGTCCTGACAAGCATCTCTGCTGCTGCATGAAGAAAATAAGCACCAATAACAAAGCTTCACAGCTAACTTCCATCTGAGCTGTCACGGCCCCTTGGGAAAGAAGAGATTAAGTGCATCCCCTGGGGATGTAGACATAAGTTCACTGCAAGGTGCTAAATCTCTCTCTCTCTCTCTGGTTCTGCCAAGTTCCTGCCCCGTCTGCCTGCTTACCTGGGTCATCTTGTCCACTGAGACAGGAATGCCGTCGATGGTGAGGGGTGGCAGCTCTGAGTTAACCTCCTGAGGCGCGGGAGCATGCTCGGCTAGCGCAGACTCCAGGTCTTCCAGAATCATGCTCTTGTACTTGCGGACCTGTGGGGAATCGTTAAGCTCAGGTAAACAAGGTAAGGAGCACCAGGAGAGGAGAGGGTGAGGAGGCAGGGCCAGCTGCCTTCCCCGGGGGGCTGCGGAGCAGAAGGAGCAAACAACGACACAGCTGGCAAGTAAAAACACCCAGCGGCCCTGAAGGCTTGGCTGCATCAGAGAGCTGATGATGAAACGTCAAGTAACGCCGCCAAGTGGAAGTATTTACAGGATTTAAAGAAAAGTTCAGAAGCCAGGCTTCATACTCAGGATCTGCTCCATTTACTGCCTGGTCTGTGGCAAGGTGCAAGCACTGATAACTGAGTTCAAAGACACGACACTACCTGTCCCCTCTGATTTTTAATCGAGGCTATTCAGCCCTGGTGAGATGTGCTGGGCAGCAACACTGACAGAGAAGACAGGAGCTCAGTGCTAGACTTGTGTCCATACAACCTGAACTCCTATCTCCAGGGTCTTAAACATGACCTCCAGATCGCTGCCAGGCCTGCAAAGCTGCCTGGAGCTAGAATGAAAGCTGTGGGGAAGGTGAGCAATTTATGACGTGACCTTTTCCTAGAGACACCTACCACATTTTCTAAGGGTGCAGCTCCAAATACTTTAAAGACGGGGTTGGGTTTGGAGGGTGAGATGCACAGAACGATGGCCTGCTGCCCCACTCTGGTGGTGTACTCGTCCAGCGTTGCCCGGAGCTTCCTGAAACAGAGGCACGGAGCAGTGAGCAGGGATCAGCTGCTGCTGGAAACACAAGCCCTGGCATTGTCAAGTCCCTTTCTTCATGCCCCCCATTGACAAACCAGGTGAGAAGCAGAGCCCCAGCTGGTCAGACGAGCCACACGGTGCTCCCGCAGGCCTGCTGTGCTCCCTGCAGCCCCACGGCAGCTCAGGTATCAATTATTCTCCCCGCTCTCCTTTTTGCCATTGATGTACAAAGTAAAGAGAAATCAGCAGAGCAGCAAAGCCAAGGACAGCGGGGGGCTGCGGATCCGCTCTGTCACTGGCTAAGTTCATCGGTGATACAGAAATTGTGAGGTAAAGAACATTTTAACAAAAGAGGACTGCAAACACAGGTTATTTTACACTCAGCCCCATAACAGCACGTTGCAATTCCCCAGTACCAAAGCCCTACTCGAACCAGAACCGTAGGCACTCAACTGCCAACGACACAACAGGCAAGAACCAGAAATATTGCACCAGCTAAGCACAGGGAACCCACGTACTCCAACACCTGCCACATCAGCAGGTCCCTTTGGAATGAGCTCTCTGTAGGAAGAAAATGTTCCATCAGGCTTTCCTCCTCTTATTAACTTCCAAGCAACACAAGGGAACGCGTCAGAAACTTTAGCAGAACCTCGTTAAGCAGGGGAGAAGCAGCAGCTACCACCAGGTGATGTGAGCATGGCCATAAAATGACATTTTAGTTTCTGTCCTGGTCATTTCAGAGCCTGCTGCTAGCAGCAGACACGTTGCCAAAGAACCAGCACCAGCTCTGCAGAGATCCCAGAATCAGGCACTAACCTCCCACCTGCTGCACGCCGGTGCTTGGTGTTTACACAGACACGTTAAACTGGTGAGAGTGCACAGAAATTATGCATTTTGTTGGTGTTTTACACAGTAATAAAATGAAATTGCTATGTGAAAGGAAAAGTAATTCTTTGGAGAGGAGTCCCTTTTAAAATAAATTGTTCCCATTTCAAGAGATGAAAAAACTTGCTCTCCAAAAACACTGCACAAACGTGGCTGAGTCAGCAGAGGTGGAGGAAGGAAAAATGAAATGATGCTACAGAAAGAAAGGGAGCCTGCTCCCAGGAAATACTATTTAATGCTAATCCTGCCATATTTCTCTCCATTTCGGTCACGTGCAAAGGGTGTTGTAGGACTCAGCAGGTGAATAAGCAGAATATAAGAAAACCAACTTAATTTCTCACCAGCTTTACAAGGAGGGGAAGAAAAAGGTGACTCTGGCCTTCACTACTTCAGGGTGCTCAGCGTGCGTGCAGGAGGAAGGCAGCAAGTACCAGAGGCTGACAAATACACCAGATTTTTTGATACAACCCAATTAAGGCCAGAATAGTTTTAAAAGCAAAAATTGTCTTCTTCCAAAATGTTTTGAGCAGTACCAGCCAATATTTAGAGATGTTTCCTAAGGACAGAATTGCAGGTGATCTTCAGAGGCTTGCAGAAGTCACTCCAGCACCAGTGCTCCTCGGTGGCCATCAGGTGGGCAGACACGCTCAGAGCACTCGTGATGCAGCACCCCGAGGGCTACAGGGGCTTCTGCCCACAGAGTTCTACAGTTTTTAAAGCCAAAGAGGGTCAGGATCAGCTTTAATGGGCATCTCCCCTCAGTTGTGTAAACTACAGGCTGGGTCAGTCACCACAACGGTCACGTCAGCCCCAGTGATCAGAACACCACGGTAAAAATGAGCAAAGCAGCGATTTGAGCCATTTCCCCCAGTTAAAATACAGCTCGTGGGTTCCAGGTGAGATGCCCCAGGCTCCTCAAGCTGGAGGACTCGTGGGCAGCACGTGGTTTTGTCACCGAAGGCACTGGGAGCGGATCGAGGAGGCAGACCTAGGTGTCAGGGTGCAGGCAGGAGTCCTTACCGTAGCAAACGCGTCTGCTGCCTCTTGCGGATCGAGGGGTTGGATTCAAAAACGTGGGGTCGCTTTCGTTTCTTACCCGTCGCCACCGCAGCGGCCGCTGCCATCCCCACGGGGCCTGGAAATCAAACCACAGAGGGTGAATCAGTGAATGCAGCTCAGGGTCAGGTCCCCCAGGGACAGCCCTAAGGGCTCAGCTCGGGGGCATGCCCCCAGATCAGGGTGACCCCAAATCCCCTGAGCTCCCTCCTCTCAGCATCAACGAGTGCATCCAAAGGGTCTCCAGTTCTCCAGTCTGGCAAGCCCCAGCTCAGTCTCAGGTGAAAGTCACATATTTTACCCCAAAGTTCTCCTTCCAGTTGTGTAATTACATATTTCATTTTCTAAACACACCGAAGAACTCAAGCACTCCAGGATCTTAAACATCCAACTGCAATCAAAGAGATCCTGGCAGCAGGTGAGGAGATGCCTGGTACAGAGCCAGGAATCCTGCTCAGCCACCTCAGCTGCAGCGTTAGGGGCCTAGGGATTTCCCTGGGGATTTAAAACCAGCTCTGAAGGGAGAGAAATTGTAAATCCTCGGTAACTGGCAGCGTCCCACAACGGGCCCTGAAGCACAGCGGGGACCACGGCAGTGCAGAGCTATTGCTTTCATGGTCACAGTTCGGACAATCTGTGTAATGGGAAGCTGATTAAGTTAGAGGAAGTATCACAGAATCACAGAAGGGTTTGGGTTGGAAGGGATCCTACAAGCCCAGCCAGTCCCAATCCCTGCCATGGGCACAACTTCCCATCCAGCCTGGCCTTGGGCACCCCCAGCTCCTCTGGGCAGCCTGGGCCAGGGCCTCACCACCTTCAAAATAAAGCATTTCTTCTTAAATCTAACCTAATCTCCCCTCTTTCAGGTTAAAACCCTTACCTCTTACCTTATTATTACGTTTTTATAAAAAATCTCCCTCAATTTTTCCTTTAAGCCCCCTTTAGGTACAGGAAGGCTGTGAGTGAGGTCTCCCTGGAGCCCTCTCCTCTCCGGGCACCCCCAGCAGAGGGGCTCCAACCCCTGCAGCACCCTCGTGGCACCTTTGGACCCATTTTAACAGGTCCTTGTCCTTCTTGTGCTGGATTTACCAGGTGAACCAAGTGACACGCAGTGAATTGGGCTTCTATCAGAGATCTCATGGCCTCTAACACAGGCTCCAGGACTTGCCTCTGACTCCCGAGCAGCCCCCACAAGTGCTCTGCGTGGTTTCTCCACGTGTCAGAGGACAAAGACCACATCAGGTGGCCCAAAAGCTCTGCACCTTTGTGTTTGACAAAGATAGAGCCACCGGGGCAGGAAGCCCTTCGCTACCAAACCCATGGCACCAGAGCAGTGCCAGATGTCAGCGTTTTCTCTAGGACACGTCTCAGGGCTGGCACTGCCTCCCCATTTTTGGTGAGCAGGAGTGACCATAGTGCTACCTGCCACGGGTACACCAAGCCCTGCAGTGTTCTGTTGTCCTGTGTGGGGGAAAAAAAGGATAAAAATGTTGATTTGGGGGAATGGAGAAACACTGGCTGCAAGGAAGCTGTGCTGTTTGCAGGTTTTGGGCTGGGAGGTGTGACAAAGCAGGGGGCCAGGCTTTGGTGTGCTGGGGAGGAAGGGCTGGTGGTAGGAGAGGAGGCACGGGTTAGAGAAGGGCAGGAGACCTGAATTAGAGTCCAGGTTTGGGGTTTCACTACCAAAGCAGCAGCTGGGCAGTCAGACCCACGTGGAGGTGCCGCAGCAGAAAGCTGCAGCAACGGGGACAGGCAAAGGTGCAGATGGGAGGAGGCAAAAATCAGAAATCCTGGCAGAACTTAACCAGAAAAGCACCACGCGATGGGCAAGCAAAGCAGAAGAGTGCTTCAGGATCTAGGATGAAGGGAAGGGACGAGGGCAAATTTACTTCCCAAATCTGGGGTGGTTTTAGGACACTTTCAAAGGATTGAAAGTGGCAGATGCCCACAAGCAGCAGCAGCCTGGCTCCCAGAGGTGGCAGCAGTTCCCCAGCCCTGCTCTGCTGAAACTGAAAGTTTCAAACCCCTGCCAGTAACCTCTACTCAAACATCTCCTCTCCATTTTTATCTGCTCTTCTTTAACGCACGTGATCCACCTCCTCTCGTGTCATACAAGCGCAGAAAAGCTTCTCCAGGAACATTTTTGCCTTTTCACAACTCTCTGCAGGGACTCCAGGAGGTTTTACTTACTTGTTAAGACAACCTACAGGCAAGTCTTCCCCTCAAAGCTGTTTATAGCAAGGGTTCATTGCTCAGCGTGGCTGTGCACCCCATAGCAGGGACGCTTGCTGCACCTAGGAGTGCTGACACACTTTTAGCTGCCTTCCACAACTTCACGGGTGCCATCGAGCAGGTCAGGAGCTTTATTCCTCAGCTATGGAGCTGGCGAGTGCTTATTTATCACCGCGTTTTTCTACTAGGGGGGTAGATTCACTACAGGGCAAACGCTGAGGGTATTCGGGAGGGGCTTTGCTGGAAGGAGCAGGTGATCCTGAAATATTTTCTATTCCAGATACACCAGCACCAGTTGTGGCATCTCATTGGGAAAGCCCTAAATTCTGAGCATCCTGGCTACGCAGAAATGCGTGGCACTGTTGGATTATTTTGGCTGTTGTTTATGTGGGGTTGGAATAAGTTTGCTCTTTGATATATTTGGTATTTTAGCTTCATTTTGGAGGCAGGATGTACTCGGGACCTTTGCAGTGTACAAACCAACCTCTTATTGACAGCACACACCGACCAGGCGACGTGGCTCAGCTCAGCAACACCCAAGCAAGCAGCAGGGCTGGCAAGGAATCGCTCTCAGAGCTTCCTTCCAGCTCTGAGGGGTGAAAAGATCACCTGGCCCCCCAAAAAATGCTGTTTGGGACCTCTGTAGGAGCACGGCATCGGGGGAACAACGCCGAGCATCCCGCGGGCGTTACCTGCTGCAGCCAGGTGAGCCGTGACCTCGTCGGCAGCCGTGGAGTTGAGGATGTCAGAGTCATCGTAGGAGGTGTCCTCGGGGGAAGAGGGCGAGTCCTCGTCCGCGCTCAGCATGCTGTGCTCCGTGTAGGTGGCCACGTGGACCTGCTGCACCTGCTGGGCCACTGCGTGGGCCTCGATGGTGGCCATGTGTTCTGTTTGGGTCACCCCGTGTTCTTCCATCAATAGAGGCTGTCAGGGGGAGAAAAAAAAATGACAGGAGAGGCGTTAGGGACACTGACGTGCCATAAATGAGGGCAGGAGGAGGTTTCTGAGCCTGCTGGGTGAGCAGGAGGGAACAGGTTACCTCCCCTCGTGGCCTCCTGCAGGAGGGAAATAATTGTGCCAGGAGGAAGAAGAGGAACTTGAAGTGTTTGGAGAAGATCACTGCTTCCAAACAGCACCCACAGGCAGGCATCTTCGCTGCAGGGAAGGTTTTTATGGACCTGGTAACCCCGAGGTGAGGAGCCCTGCCCACCCAGCTCAGTTCTGCCTCTCCAGGAGAGGGCTGTAAGGGGAGATGCTTGGCGGCAGTGCTCAGCCCAGCTCCTCCAGCCTCACATTCGGCTTTTCTAAAGCTTTTGGTAACTTGTTATCAAAATAATCAACCGGCAAATTACAACCACAAAAAGAAACAAACAACACATCATCACAACCACCACGCAATGGCACGAGCAATGGGAATCAGGAGGAAGAGCGCTTGGCCGAGGTTATTTTGGCAAAAACGCAGAAAGAACAAAACTTGAGATATTGCAAGAGAAGATTACAAGTGTGGGACAGTCCGTGGAAGAAACGGGGGAGAATGGGGGACAGCTCAGAAATTGAGGTGTTTGGTGGCCAAAGGAGAGAACCAGAGTCTCGTACTGAATTTGGGAGAGAGGAAAAAGGGACGAGGCACGTCCAGGGCTGCAGCAGCTTTTAAGCAGCACAAGCTCAAAAGCCAGGACCTGGTTGCCGTAGTCTAGACAAAAAACAGAAAAACAGAGAAGGTGGGAAGCAGGCGGTCCTTAGATGCATTTATTTCTACCTAAATCCCCTGACCAAGGAGCTGAAATGTGACAGATTTTCCAGATTTTCCCCTCATCACCAGCTGATTTCCACAGGCTCGTTTCCAGGTGCCTTGGGATGCCTTTTGTACCTCGGCACACCGAATGCAATGGACACGGAACAGCTCTTGCAAAGGTATTTCCAGCTCCAAGACGCCAAAACCAGGCGTGCGATTATTTTAGAGAGCCCCACGCTCAGAACAGGACCGTGAGGGCTTCTCCAGTTGGCCAAGATGTTTGCAACCACCACGTTCCTCCCAAAAAGGCCACGGGAAGCTCAGCAGGCCAACGAGTTCAACGGAGAGCTCCCCAGCCAGCAGACCCTAGGCTTTAGAAGGAGGGAGCTCCACATCCACGCACACAACGTTCGTTCTTCCTCTGTCTTCCAAAAACATTTCGGCACGGCTTCTTGCTTACCAACACGAAGAAATCCACCTAGATCTTCCCAAAAAGTCGAAGATGCTCTCCAAAGCGTCTCACCCCGCTCAATGCTTGCCCAAGAATCCAGAGCGTGGCCAACTCCTCGCGAAGCACCAGCCTCCCTCCAGCGACCACGGAGGTTTCCAGCTTTGATGCTGTGGGTTCACGGCTCACGGAAAAGGATCCGGGGCACGGAATCCCTTTACTTTATGTCTGTAGGGCTTGCTTCTTTCCTACACGCCTCTAATAACAAGAGGCACATGAAATGAAGGCTCTTCTTGTGCAGCACCAGAGCCGACCCCGTTAATTTGGCGTCCTCCAACGCAGTGGGGTGGAAGCAGAAGGGAACTGCAGGTATTTCTGTAGGATTTTCATCCTCGGGGTGCCCGCATCGCTGTAGTGCACAGAAATACCCTAATGTTGGGGTGAGGCTGGTCTGAGAGCCCCAGATCAGGGGAGAGTGATTAAAACCAGAGAGCTGTGCTCCCAAGTGTTTGGGAGGAAGGATTTGGCCACACGTTCACTCACACACCCGGCTGATGTGCAAATCCATTGAGGCTACAGCTGAAGCCAAACCACCTCCCAGCTCACAATTTCCCCTAAAACAGGCTAACGGAGCTGGATGCTGTTGTCCAGCCCTCCCTACAAGCCAGACCATAATGTCAGAACCACCCCAAAACAGCGAGTCAAAGACCTCCATAAACGCAGGACCCAAGATGCTGACGCACGTGGAAGCAAAGTGAAATTTTCTGGTTGAAACAAATCAACCGTAATCATCCTCCCAGGGCCTTATTTTGCCATTTCCAGGGAAAAACGGGGGGAGCGTGGCGGAGATTTCACACCAAACCCGAATGGAGCAGCTCAGCGGGGCAGGGATTCCTGCAAGGCCACGCTGCTGCTTGCTCCGTGGTGCCAAACAACTTCAAGGATTTGCTATTTAAATAAAAAAAAGTGTAAGATTAGCAGAATATAACCAAAGTGCTCTACCCAAAAAAGCCTGCGAGGTGACTTTCTGCTTTCTTTAGGAGGAAAGGTGCTCGGATCGAGGCACTCTACACCCTTGACACCACTCAAAATGCCACCATGCTTATAAATAAAAAATAAATAAATAAATTTATAAATAAAACTGGTCGTAGATGGAAGACGCCGAGCCACGTGTTCTTGAGTCAGCAGGGGTCACCGAGCAGTGCTTCTCATGGGCACAGTGATTATGTCGAGGTGAAGCCCACTCGATTCCAACCAGATCTAATAAAATCCTACAAATGCAGCCTGGCTGAGGCTGGGGGCACCTGGGGTCCTCCTGGTCCCCCCCTTTTGCGCACACAGCAATGCCACCAGCTCCTTTAACTCATTACCAAGTCATAATTGGAATTATTTCCCGTTTAACCTGACAGCTGACCTCACTGGATGCAGGCTCTCTACTTTTCCAACCTCTACGCTCTTCCTCTCCGCACGTTTTCCTTCCAAAAAGCTCCTAAAATCACAGACCAAAGGGGAAAAGCCTCATAACTGTGTTGAAACCTCACGTAGTTGCTTGTATTCTTCACATACTCACGGTATTCCCGCAGGGTTCCTGACACTCAGGTTTTGGGAGCAGGCACCTCACCTGAAGCTTCTGCTGACCGTTACCAAATTACGGATTTATTTCATTTATTCACCGTTCCAGAAAAGCCGTGTTTATTCCCGTCGTACCCCATCAATGGGAGCAAGTTTCGGGCATAAGGAAACCCTCACAGCACGACGATGCCTGCTAAGACATCTCCTGGTGGTTGTAGCTCAGTCCAGAAGCCTTGGTCGGCAGCCAGAAGTCTTTTTATAGTCATGTAACGTGCTTAAAAAAAATAATTATGAGGACAAAGCCCTCTGCTGAGGCTTCGTGACCAGTGCTGGGGTCCCTCTGCTGCGCCGTCAGCTGCTGGCACCAGAGCTGGAAGAAAATCAGGCACAAGAGGAGCAGAGCAACCCAAAACAGCAGAAAACAGCAGAAACCGTACACAAAGCCCATGAATTCTACATTAAACTCAACGCCAGGAGGGTTAAAACAGAGGTCTCGTCCACTTGGTGCCACCTGTGGTGTGGACATAAAGCGAAGGAACCAGATCGACCCCAAACCACGTGAGCTGCCCCGCTGGAGCTCTCCTCTACCAAGTTTCATGTGGCCACACGGGCGCTTTACTGAGCCAAAAATAAAGTGTCCACACCAGAACAAACTGAGGAGGCACGCCAGCCCGGCTGGAAAAACCCTTACCAGACGTGGCCCGAGCTTATTTTTATCCTTCAGAGCACTCCGGGTGCTGCAGACAGCCAGCACCGAGGCGAGCATCCCGAATTCCCCCAGCATTTCGCATCGGGTGGCTGGTTTTTTTATTCCAGCTCACCCGAAATACCGCTCAGATTGACCAGGAACTAAAGAGCTGCCGGGTCTGACGCCTTTGGCAGGTGAAATGATTTTAGAATGGATGCGAAATCATTGGGGAGGGATCATGGGGAGGACGAAACGGTGGCTGCAGAGCATCGAGGCGCAGGGGATGGCCTTACACCTTGCTGTACGGGGTAAGCACAGGACTGGAAGCTGCCAGTGCCTGGATTTTCCCCTGTTTAGGGGCACACACTTTGTCAGAAGGCACTTGGTAAGTGATGGATGTCAGCAGTTACCTCGTTTAACAGACTCGTTAGCCTTTCCAGCGCTGGGTGCTGGCCCTGTACTCATTTTACACCGACCCTCTCCTCCTCCTAGCAGGGAGACAGAGCAAAAAGGCTGGGTTACGCGACCCACCTGGTGCTCTCCGAAGAATTAGCCTTGAATTCTGAAAAGAGCAGAAATTTTGAGGATATAGCAGCAAACCAGACACCGTGGGACGCGGTACCGAGTGAAGAAGAGGGGCAATCAGCTTGCATCAGCTCCTAGCCCTCAAGGAGCGAGGCAGCCGGCACCAGGCTGCTCCTCATCCTCCTCCTGTCACCCCAACCCCACAAGCTCATTTCCTAATTTGTTTCAAAGGAACAGAACCACTCCTGTTGTGGTTTTTGTTTTTTTTTTCCTTCTTTCCTAACCCATTTTCGGGCTGATCCCCTCGCTGCGCTCAGCTCCTTATCGCCAACCCTGCTCCGCACGGAAAACCGGCACGTCGCGCTTCGCCGTCTGGCACCACACGGCCCCGTCTCAAAACTAGTTCAAAAAAGGAAAAAAATATTTAAAAATCTGTCATTATTCAAGCCGGGCACCCTCCTCGTGGCTTTAACTTCAACGGAAGGCTGCTCCATGCTCGGGGAGCTGATTTCTTCCAGAAAACGTGCGACACCTTCCCTTTCTTCCACTCTTTCTTTTTTTTTTGTGCGTGTGTGAAGCCGACGAGCATCTGGAGTTTAATACGCCCTTAATGGCTTCAAGCCTCCCCTGTAAATAAATGGCTCGCTTTGCATTAAACACCCAGCACCACACTGGCACTTTTGTTCTCGGGGGGCTATTGTGGAGCGGGGAATCCACGGGGCCGCTGTGATCTTGGGCGTGCTAAATCCCACGGGGCAGCTCCGCGGGTATTTGGGCATCCAGCAGCACCTCTGCGAGGAAAGAGGCCTCTCCAGCAGCTCGGAGCCGTTTGCTGCTCGGTTTTTCTCCTTCTCTCAGCTTGGAAGGGGAGCCACGGGGTGTGCTGGCTGAGAGCCACGATGCTCAGCACCATCCCCTGCAGGGTCGCAGGGTGAAGGTCTCCGAAATGCCAGCACGTGGTGCCTCGCTCCCCAGCCCTGGTGGTTTATGCAGCAGCGGGTCCAGCAGAGCACGTGGCCCACCTTTATTCCAAAAAAATAGGGGAGGAAGAAACTGCTTGAAGCTGGAACAGCTCCTCCTGCCACCGTGACCGTCGCCTAAGGGGGGAAATCTCAAAATACCTTCGGTGATCTGGGCTGAGGTGACGGGGAGCTCGTCAGCAAACTGCCGTGTGGCATCCTGCAGGCGTGAAATCAGATTAAAGAGCACTTCCTATGCGCTTACCGCCCAAGGTTTTGTTTAAAAAGCTATTTCGAAGTGCCGCTGCACGTCCAGATAAACTCTAGGCTCCCTGCGAAGACGGCCTGGAATAATTCCTAAGTGAAAAATGATCCAGGGGGAAATTAATCATCCGCCATTTACTAATAAAATAAAACCCTGTTTGGGTGTAATTGTACAGCTGAAATTGCCTGGCACTGCTTTTTGCTCTTCTGGCACGAAGCCCTCTGTGCCGTTTTTAAGGCTCGTAGATGCTTCCCGGTCCCCTCAGCATCCCCGCAGCAGACTCTGGAGGTTGCGCTCACCGGGAGGGATTAACCTCACCCGGAAACACAGAGCAAGAAAATCATGCTTTGGCCACCCAAACCTCGCTAGCCTCGTGTCTAGCAGCCTGCAGTGGCCAAAAATGGCCCGGTTTTGACAGGTCCTGAGTCGGAGGAGCTGCCAGCCCCTAGCTGAGGGCTGGAGGACAGCCTCCAGGAGAGCTGGGAGCAGAGCTGATCACTGCCTGAGCATCATATTTAGTGAAACGCCCAGCCTGGCTCGTGGGGGCACAGAGCTCACCCGAATTATTTCCCAAACCGCTTCCAGGTGGAGCTCACGGCTCCGTGGGAAGCAACGCCTCTCGTGGCTCCACCACCACACACGGCCAGGCACAGCCCAGACCTCCCCCTGCCTCTTCTGAGGGGGGAGAAAAGAAGGAGGCACTCCCATCCTCCCTAAAAGTAGGTTTTGGATTCAGGGTAGTGGATGGAGCCCTCTCCATCGTGTCCATCATCACGCTGCGTTGGCATCTCCCACGGGTTAAATATCAGCCACGCGTTCACCTTTCCGTGATGGCAAAGTGACGGATTTCAGCTTTTACCTGTCCCAGCAGGACCAAAGTTAACGTTTTTTGTTTTTTTTTTTCATGCTGGCTCACGGCGGCGTGGGGCCGGCTGAGACGCGGCAACTCGAGCTCTAAGAGGGACTGAAACCACCCAGCCCTCGTTCCACAGCGTCCCCCCGTGGCACGATGCAATTAGCCTTTTAATTAGGGTGGAAACGCAAGCCCTACGCGACCAGTTGCGGCATTAAAAAAGTCCTAAAATCCACGAATTCTAGGAAACCAACCCAAACGCCCTCCCTTACTGCACTCGTTTCATCACCAGCTCATCACCTGGAAGAAGAAACACATCTCGCTGCGGGAAACACTGCCCAGAAGAGAGAGAAAAGGGATTTTGCACACATTTATCAGGAGCTCGAGCTCCTGTTTGCTGAAGTTTCTGCTGAAAGGCATCGTTTGGAAACAAGATGGGCTGCTCAGCCTGCAACGGGCGCTGCGATCTGCAGCCGGCCCTTCCTGCGGTTTAATTTCACATCTGTAGCACCAACCGCTGCCAAATCTGCCTTTTTCTCCTCTTTTTCTCCCGAATTTTAGGTCATTTCATTGTATTTCTTCCCCCCAGCATCCACGAGGAACGCCTGGGGCAGAGCTGACCCCGCTGCGATGCTCTGCAGGACGCGGTCCCTCAGAGGTGGCACCACATCAACGCACGCGTCCTGCTGCTCCCAAAACCACTCAGAAACCCCAATTCCAAAATATTTCACCCCAAACTTCGCAGCCAGAAGTCATTTCAACCGAGTTAGCCCCTCTCCAGCTGATGGGGTAATTAACCCTTTGTAATTAACAGCCAGCGCTCCGTCCTCACGCCGAGGGGAACCACGCACAAAGAAAACCCTTCTTTTACAAATCTTATTCTAAGCTTTTTTCCTCCTTTCTTTCCCCAAAAGCTGCTCAAGAGGAGGAGCTGTGCACCCGTGGACCTCCAGACACAGCCTCTGACACCCGCTGCGGGATATTCCAGACGAAGGAAGGCAGCCGTGCGCTCTGCCCCGTTCGGGGACGCTCCTCCAAGCTCCCAGGATGGCGAGGATCTGGATTTTCCAAGAGGCTGCACCTACAGCCTCAAAGATTTCCCTGCGTGCTGGATTTAAGCCCTGGCTTGAATTTCTTTCCCTCCACGGGACTGAGAAAGAGCCACGAACGTGGCCACCTCCACGCCTTGCGCTCACCACGCGGCCGGTTTCCTCGCAGGTGGGGCTGGACTGGAGAGGAAGGAATTAAAAAACAGCACCGAAAAGGCAACACGAGATTTAATTCCTGCCGTGCCTTGCGTTTTAGAGCTCTTTGGCTTTTTTTTTCAGCACCACGAGCCCCTGCCCCTTCAGGGGAGGACCTGGGTGCCCAAGCAGGGCGGGAGGATCCAAGGCTGAAGCCCAAAATAAACTCACGGGGGGGATTCATTCACGAAGCACAGAGGATGTCGCAACGTAAACACGGCACGGAGGCTCCGGGGCTGTGGTCTCGCAACTATTTCTGACCCAGACAAGGGGGAAGTTTCCCAAGGCTTTTGGCCTCATCCCCGTTTGATGAGTTTAATTAGGCGGTTACGTAACGAACGGCGGGCGGGAATTGTTCCTTTTTGGGCTATTTGGTGGCTTTGGAGTGAAAGGGACGCTCCGGGAGGGGAAATGTTTTGGGTTTTCCCACCTCTGGGCTTGGAATGGGACAAAAATTGCGGAAATGGGCTGAAAAAGCTCCACGTGGCCATCGGTGCGCGGAGCCTGAGCGATCCACTTGTTGCTTACAGCCTCTAAAAAAAGGCTGAAAACCCAAAAAAGAGAATGGGGCTCTGGGGTCGCCCTATAACTGAGGCTCTTCCCAACGCCCCTTCCGACAGCAAAGCCCCAGAAGGGCCCGAAAAGCTTTACCCAGGGCCGAATGCTCCTGGTGGAAGCTGAAAAATGGGTGGAAGCAGAGAGGAGATGCTCGTGGTGCTGCTTCACGGCCCGTCCACGGGTGCTTGGAGGACTCAGGAGCTCACCGGGATCATCCACATCAGCACCGTTTGGCTTCTGGAGTCGTGATTCACGGGGTGAAAGCAGCACGATGCCCCCCACGCGCCCTAAGTTCGTTAAGCAGACCGAGGCCTATATTCCAAAAGTTAATTAATTAAATAACCCGCGCACTGAGCATCAGGTGCACAAAAGAAATATAAATTATAGGTTTTTCCTACGGACCTACGCACACGGCTGCAGAAGTTGGAGCTGAAGCAGGATTCGTGCTACGGGGCTGCCCCAGTGCTCACCCCGAGCTCCTGCACTCGTTTTTGTCTCGATTTTCACCCACGAAGCTGAGATCTTCCGGGCTTGAGCCCTGCCAGAGGTGACCGAGCTGTTTGAAACCCTAAAGGAAGAGTCGGGGGAGATCCCGGCCCTCCCAGCAGCACCACGAGCAGCAGGCGCTCCCTCGTGCCCCTCGAGGGAAAGCCTCTTGCTCCCAGTTTGGCCACAAACACACAAAAAAAAGACGAACGCCTTCTCTTTCACCCATTCCCCCAGCATTCAGACACCGTAAAAGCAATCCCACAGCTTGTAAGGATGAGAAACAGTGGTGTGGGTGACCCCAAAGCTGTGGTGTCCCCAACAAAACCAAGAGGGCAAATGCCCGAGTCCATTCAGCCTGGCTGGGAGCACAAAGCACACCTGTAGGGCCATTTTTGGGGTAAAACATCAAATTCTGCTAAGGATCACGGCCCCAAAACCCACAGGGATGAGCCCCCCGAGTGCGCTGCTGAGCCCCAGCGGGATGGGGAGGGACGGGCAGGGGGAATTAGGGCAGGGGGAGAGCCTGCAGGGGGAAAGGGGGAGGTAAGGGGGGGAAAAAGTTGTAAATAATAATAATAATAATAATAAATAAATAGTGGGGAAAGGAGGAAAATAAAAAGGGGGGAAGGGGAGAATATGAAGAGGGGGAAGGATAAAAAGGGGGAAATTTAGGAAAGGGGTGAAAGGGGGAATATAAAAAGGGGGGAACTATAAAAAGTGGGGAAAAGAGGGGTCAAAATATAAAAGGGGGAAAAGGGGATATAAAGAGGAAATATAAGAAGGGGGGAAAGAGGGGGGAATATAAACAGGTGAGCAAAGGGGGTCAAATATAAAAAGACGGGAAAGGGGAGTCAAAATATAGAAGAGGGGATCAAAATATAAAAAGGGGAAATAAAAAGTGGGGAAGAAGGAAAAATTAAAAAGGGGAGAAGGGAAAAAAATAAAAAGCAGGGGAAAAGAGGGAAATTAAAAATGGAGGGAAGAGGGGGAAAAATAAAATGGGGGAAAAGGAAAAATAAAAAGGAGGGGATAGATGGGAAAAAGGGATCAAAATTAAAAGGGGGGAAAAGGGAGAAAAAATAAAAAGGGGGGATATTAAAAGGGCAATGAAAAGAGAAGAAAAATAAAATTGGGAAGGAAAGAGGAGAAAAAATAAAAAGGGAGGAAAAAAAATAAAAAAGGGGGGAAGGGGAGAAAAAATTATTAAAAGGGGGGTAAGGAGAAAAAATTATTAAAAGGGGGGAAGGAGAAAAATATTAAAAGGAGGGGAAAGGAGAAAAAATTATTAAAGGGGGGGAAAAGGGGAAGAATTATTAAAAGGGGGGGAAATTATTAAAAGAGGGGGAAAAATTATTAAAAGGGGGGGAAAAAAATTATTAAAAGGGGGGGAAGAAAAATTATTTAAAAGGGGGGGAAAGGGGGAAAAATTATTAAAAGGGGGGGGGAAAGGAGGAATGTTAAAAAGGGAGACTATTAAAAATGGATAATATTAAAAAGAGAGGAAAAATAAGAATATTAAAAAGGAGGGGAAAGGGGAGAAAATTAAAAGGGGAAAAATAAAAAGGGGGGAAATTAAAAAGGAGGGAAAAGAAAATATTCAAAACGGGGAGGAAAACGGGGGAAAATAAAAAGGGGAGGGAAAAGGAAGAAAACTAAAAAGGGGAGGGAAAAAGGAAAGAAATAGAAATAGGGGGGGGAAATATAAGACAATTAGGCGTGAAAAAAAATAAAAGGGGGGGAAATTAACGAGAGGGGGAGGAGGAAAAAAGGGGGGAAAACTCCAGCGGGGCCCTGAGGTAAACCCGGGGGGGGGGGGGGGGGCAGGGAACGGGGCCGCGCTCCCGGTGCCCCCCCCCCCAGGCTCCGGGCTGAGGCCTTCGAGGGCTCCCCTGAGGTTGTGGGGGGCCTCCCGCAGCCCCCCCCGGTCGTTGTGGGGTGGCCATGTCCCGGTGTCCCCCCCCCCAAACACCCCCTAAAAACCACCACAGCGGCCGCCTTCACCCCCCCCCCCCCCACACCCCGAGGCCTAGCGCGGCCTAATGAAAAAGGCGGCCCCGTGAGGCGAGGAGCGGGGCGTGAGGGGAGGAAAGGGAAAGGGATTTTAAAAAAGGGGGGGGAAAGAAGGGGAAAAAAAAGGGGAAAAGGTGTAAGGGGGGGGGTCCGGGATCGGCCGGTGGGGGCCCCCGCGTTGCTGCGGCTGCGCCGGGGCTGGAGGAGCTGGGAGATTGCGCGGTAGGACGCTCACCTCAGAGCGGCTGCGCTGCGGCGGGCCTGCGCCGTGGAAGCCTGCGGCGGGGAGGGAGGGAGGGAAGAGAGGAGAGAGAGAGAGAGAAAAAAAAAAAAAAAAAAAAAAAAAAAAAAAAAAAAGGGGGGGAGCCCCCCTCGGGGAAGGGGGAGGGAGGAAGCGGCGGGGCTCGAGCCCTGAGCCGCCGCAATGGCGAGAGGGAGAGGAGGAGGAGGAGGAGGCCGAGGGAGGGAGGGAGGGAGGGGAGGAGGAGGAGGGGGGGGGGGGGGAGAGAAGGAGAAAAAAAAAAAAAAAAAAAAAAAAAAGGTGGGGGGGGGTGGGGAGGAGGGAGGGTGGCGTCATGGCGCGGCGCCGCCGCCATGAGGAGGAGGGCGAGGGGTGGAAAAAGAGGGGAGGAGGGGGGGAATTTGGGGAGGGGGAGAGGGGAGGGGGGGGGAATATGGGGGATTTGGGGGTGGGGGGGGTGAGGGGGGTGTGGGGAGGGGGGGTGTAGGGTGAGGTGGGGGGGGACGGGGGAGGCGCCATCTTGGGGAGGTCGCCCCGCGCCTCAGGGAGGAGGGCGGGAAAGGGCTGAGGGGGAGCCGGGCTAGGTGTTCCCTGTCGTGTTTTGCTGTCAAAAAAAAGTGTGTTTTGCTGTCAAAAAAGCGCGGTTTTGGGACATTCTGGCTCTCTGCTTCCCCACCTTCACCTCCCTCAAACTCTAGTTTCTCAGCCATGTTGCTGAGCTAAGCCGGGTTTCAAAATAACTCGAAATAATGCAAAATGACCCCAAACTGCGCTTTCTAATGTGTGAAATCTAATGTTTTCTTGTTGTATCAGGGCTCAAAGACCTGCACTGGGACCGTGGTCTTGTCAAAGGAAGGTGTCCGTGTACCAGAGCAACCTGTGGTTTCAGCGGGAGCCTGAAGCGTAAAGGACTTGGAACACAGGAAAAAAAGGAAAAAGTAGTACAAAAAATGGTACAAAATAGTAAAAATAGATATGTGCGATTTATAGCAGGAAGTCTTAAGGAGGGACTTCAGACTGATGGACCGAAACTGTCAAATTTAAGACGCGTTCTCCTCAAGTAAAGAATGGTGTGGAAAGTGCAACGTGGACGGATGCTCAAGAGAAAAGTTAATAAAATCTGGTTTACAGCGGCCTGGAAAGCAAAATATTTTCAGTAATGTTCCTTCCTTAAGGATCCTAGATGTACGTTAAGCGCTCCGCTAGAGAGCTGGCAGGTCAAAAATTCAGTAGGCTTTTATTTTACAGCAATCATGGTTTTATTTTTGTTGCATATACATTTTTTTTTTTTAATTTCAGGACGTCAGCCTACCATCTGTGCCTCATAGAAACCTCTTCCATGGGTATGTCACTGTACTAAAAATGATAATATTTTTCTCATTACGCTAATAGCCACTGCTGGAATTTTACAGCTTCCCTTGGAGCATGCGATACCAATCCCTCTGAAATGGGACGTATCTCACATGCCTACCAGCTCCCAAATTGTATAAACCGATAGCCAAATACAGAAATAACTTCACCCCATAGGCGGAATGAAGCACAGCCACCAATTTTTCCTATTAACAGATGCGATAAAGCAATTGTAAATGTAAAGGCAGGAAGTTATGACCGCGCTACAACCATCTGAAGATGCAAGACTACGGAAAGCACAGGGCGAAAACCTCTCCGAGACGTGCCCCCGTCTGCAGAGCCAGCCGAGGCAATCGGCATGCGTGTCAGGTCAGCTCGGGATCGAATGTCCACTCTGCAGTCACACTCCACTTGTTGCCTCTGCAGTGCCCCTGCGTTTCTCTGGGAGCTCTGCAGCCACGTGCACGCTCTCACAGTGTATTTTTTTGGGGAAAAAACACCTGTTTTTTGCACCAATGTCAGCTTAGCCCATAGACTGGGTTACTCCGCGTTTGGGGTGCTCTGGATTTCCATCGTTGGTCTTTCATAGGTACAAAATGTGGATCTGGGCCCAATGATGATTTACACCGGTTGCTGAAATGAGTGTAGCTTTTGCTCCAGAGCCGTGGAGGGGTCTTGGTGGGGCCTTGCTGTTCCGTGAAGACAGGGTAATGCCCTGCCAGCGCGGGCAGGCGTAGAGGCAGCTGACACGGACTGTAATAGCTGTGGAATTCCCTTGTGCTAATCAGCAGTTTTGGAACGGGGCCACAAGCACGGAGAGCTGGGCCTGTGCCACCCGAAAGTCCTGGTGTAACCCTGCAGTGGGCTGGAAGGAGGAAGGTCACTTCCCTGGACGTCACAGGAAGGTAGAACCCCATGAGACACCAAAAAACTTCCTGTAATGGTAGGATGGCAGAATCCTGGAAGGGCTTCCGGAGGTTCTGGAGTCTCCCCTGTTGAAGGTTTTAAGAACAGGTTGGGCAAATGCTGCTCAGGAATGCTGTAGGTAGAGTTGCTGCTGCCTCAGGGAGAGGGATGGCTGACGGTGACGTCCCAGGGTCCCACCTGGCTGCATATTTCCCTGGCCACACGTTGCGAATTGGTTTGGAGTGGGCAGGTGAAGCCGTGGGCTTGTGGAAGTGCGCATCTGCAGGGCAGTGGCTGAGTGTGCTTGGCTGGGCCTGACACGGGCTCATTTCTTCTCCCCCCCTCTCAAAGAGCACTCACTTCTGTGAGAAGAAGAGAGCAGGCAGGACCCAAAGCTCTTGCCAGGGAATGGCGTGGACATTGATTTGGGATGCACCAAAAGGGGCCTCAGGGAGGGAAATTTTCCCAGTATGAACAAACTGACGCTGCCTCTTAGGAAAAATCCTGCATCAGCACAGTTTCCCCAGGTTCTCGTGGAGATCCAGCAAAGCCCAGGCTGCCTCGTGTCACAGACCCGTAACCCCACAGGGTGAGGGTTGGCACAAGGCTCACTGCGAGCACAAATGTGCATTTTGTCAGCTGAAGGGTCGGGAGCTTGGCTCGCACCCCGTGGGGATGCCGGGGCTGGTCAGGACACGCCACATCCAGCACAGAGAAGGAGGGGAGGAGGTTAGCTGGGTAAAGGCAAACGATGCGTGGTGGGAAAAAGGAGATCTGGTGACAGGGCAGGGCCAGAAGGCGTAAATAATCTTCACATCCTCGGTTTGGGGAAAGAAAAGGTGGAATTTAGAACGTGGGGATGATGTTAGCAGTCTGCCAGGCAGGTGTGGCTGCTCAGGTGCTGCGAGGCTGTGGGAGAGACATCGGGGACTCGGTACGGGGTGTTTTAGCCATCCTCCCTGCCTTTGGCTGGTGAATTCTGCTCCAGAGCAAAAAAAAACAAACAGATGAGTAAGAAGAAAGGATTGCCTAGCAAAGGGTGCATGGGAAAGTGTGAGGGGACTGGGAGTGCCTGTGGCAGTGAGCTGGGTGGCTTGGAAGTAGCAGCGTACTAGAGAAGAAAAAATAAGATGGACGTACGTAGAGAGAAAGAATAAGATGGATTTTAGGGATCAGGGAGATGATGTTTTTGTTAGGGGGTGAGACACGTGCCCCTGCTAGCATGCTTAGCACAGCTCACAGCCCAGCTCAACCCAAAACATCGCTCCCATCAGCTGAGCCCATGTGGGGAGGAGGGAGATGATTTCTCCAAAAAGTGCTTTGGAGTCACAGGGATAGCTTTAGGACTTGCTGAACACACCGACCTGCTTGTATCGTGACAGAAGACCTCACGGTGACCGAGAGCCTGATATCTCACCGGGTTTGCACAGGAAGGTTGGGCTGTGGTGTGCTGGAGATGAAGGAGTTGCACGTGGTTGTGCAGCGGAAGACGAGCTCCTGGCAGCAGCTCTGTTCTGAGTCTGCTTCCTACAAAATGTCCTCGCTGCCTCGGAGTTAACAAATCTGCTGCTGCCTGCTGGCACTTTCTAGCTGCCTGCGCTTGGAAGGAGGAAACCCAGCCACTGAGCGTCTTGTATCATCGGGAGAGAAAAAGCGGATCCATCTTTCTTCTTGCCCATGGAGTTTTCGTGCATCTCAAGCCCACGGAAGAGAAAAGCAATTGATTCACCCACGGTGCTGACAACAAACACCCCGATGACTTAGCGGTTTTGTAACCGAGCAGTTTTTAAACGTTCACAGTGCAGACTGAGGAGGAAAACTACAGACACAGCTGTGTGGCTCTCTCCTTTTCTCTCTTTTTCAGGTTAAAAAAAAAAAAAAAAAAAAAAAAAAAGATGCATCCATTGCTTTCCTTTAACCTGAGTCTTTGCAGCAGTGGTTGTTCAGTAATGTGCAATAAAACAGATTCGCACGGCTCATAAAGAGCCAAGCTCATTTTCATTACCCCGGGGAGAACATTGATAGGGCAATGTGTTAGTTGTAAGTAGCCTTGATGGGGCTCTGGATGCCACAGCTTCTCTGCAGACAGATGAGGCCAAAGCCGAGTGATTTTGGGGAAGATTCCTCTGAAGAAAAGCTCTGTTAAGGCTCCTAGCCACCAAAATCCACATGGGTCCAGTCACTCTGGAGAGCTTCTACTGGTAGGGTAGCGGGTTCCTGCAGCATCACCCTCACAAACACAAATTCCTGGTCTTTCACCTGAATATCCCCTCTGCAGTTTAGCTCTTCACACCTGGATCTTCAGTTTTGTGCTGCTGTACCAATGACACTCAGATATTTCCAGCTTTTTTTCTCTCCTCCTGCTCCAAAGTAGTTCGGTGAAGTTCTGTGTACACCAATCTCTCCGTTTTTCTGCGCAGAGCGTGAGGAGCATCAGAACTCCACTGATGGAACACGATGGGTAAGAGTGAAGAGTCTGAAGATAATGTGACCAGCCCTGCCCGCTACTAGAGGGAGGCCAGCTCTTCAGGCTTTTTATTACTTATTTGGTCTTTTTTTTTTCCCAGATTGTCAGTTCTTCCATGAAAAACACACATCCAGAGCTTTTTTCTCTATTTCAGGCCAAGTTCCCCAGTAGCCATCTCAAGACCGGAGCTTCCAGTGTGGCCCCTCTGGGCTGTTTTGCTGTACCCCTGGCTGTATGGTTTACCCTTTTTTACAGCTCTTTGGCATCACCACGCAGAGCCAGCTCATAATTTCACCTGTGAAAAACCCCAGCATGGAAAGCAATCAGGCAGTCAGCAGTTAGTCTCTGTTAGTCTCTCCAGATGTGCTTTCTTGGGTGGTAATAAATGATTTTAGGACTCTACTGCATCATTTTTTGAAATTCTGTTGAAATACGCGCCTGGACCAGCAGTGTTCCGGGGCGGCCTCAAGCCTCAGACCATTTCCAGCATCTTCCTCAGATCGTTACCAGCAGGGAAGGGTTAGAGCAGAAGGGATCTGTGCTATGGACTCTTGAGACCTCGATTCTCTCAGCAGCAGAGAAAAGGGTTGCATGGTGTGAGGATCTAGAAGGTAACCCAGGCTGGGGCCTCTGATTCTGCAACAAAACGGTGTCCCAACGTGCAGCAACACAAATGTTGTATGACTGGTCCTGGGGACAGCAGCTTTACTTCTCGTGGTTCCTCTTTCGCAGCATCCAGGAACCAAAAGCAGCCTGGATTTCGGTCGTGCCTTGCAGCAACCTGCCTTTTCACTTCTCCCAACTAGTGATTAATTGTTTCTATTCTGCCAGTGCCCGGAGTATTTGGAAATAAAAGCCAGTAATGCTGGCTGAGCGCCACGCTCTCATCTCTATGAAGCAGCAGGAATAGTAACAACTATCGAGAGAGACTGGCACGTCGGAACCCACTTATGTATTATGTATAGCCTCTCGGTGCCTTTTCCTCGCAGCTAAGCACCAAACTGCAGTCGATCTTACAGCAGAAATAGTTAACGGAGAGACAAAGATGAGGGACTAAAAAAGGAAGAGACGCGCCGGGAACTTTGCTGGCAGGAAGCCTTTTCTCTCCCATCCCCACATGCTGCCTGGGGCTTCTTTTTAAATGAATTGATAAAGATTGTCTTTTAATCACTTTTTAGGACAGGGTTGGCCTGGTTGTGACTCGAGTATCAATGTCTGTGCTAAAGCTTGTCCTGCACCAGCGCTGTGCTGATGCTGGAGCCCCCGAGAGCCCAGTCCCCAGCTGGAGGACAGAGCCACCAGGGTGGCTGGGGCCAGCACGACCGTGGTGAGTTTGGAGGCAGGATGGGATCTCGTTAGACCACTGACATCTTCCTGGTGCTGGCTGTGGCATACGGTGCTTCCAAATAACCTGCTGCTCTGATGCCTTTCCTACAGGGCTGCAACCTGCTCTTTGTGAGATGTTCCTCAGGTCCCATGTGCTTCTCTCAGGGAAATTAATTCCCCAAACGGTCGCTGCAGGCTGATTACCCCGAGCTGGACGTGTATGATTTTCTTTTCTTCGTTACTCGAGGCGATTTTGCCTGAAGTGTGTAGCAGGCAGGGTGATTTCCCCTGGCTGGGCTAGCTGTCTGAACACAATTCCACTCGGTTATTAATAGCAGGAGCAAGCAGGGCTGAGTTTACAACTGTGCAGGAGTGATAAGCTCAAGACGACGGTGCTTCCTCTCCAAGGAGCTGTCTTTGCTTGACTCCTCCGCGTCTGAGACGCTGCCATCCCCGAGTCAGGAGGTGTTTTTGCACTCAGAGCAGGGATGCCCACAAGGCGCAGGCCAGGTGGGTTCCTTTTAATGGAAGGCTAGACTGCATCTCTGACGTGATTTTACCCTCTTCATCCAAGCTGATAGAGTCGCTGATGTTCTTGAGGTTTTCTGACACTCGTTTTTATGGCCTTCAGCCCAAATTCCTTCAGGTCTCCAAGCCGTGGCCATGTTGGTTTCCCTGCAATCTTCATTTTTTTAGAGAACCTACATTTCTCTATCCACACTAAACCTCACTTTGCTTTTTCAGTAGACTCTTAACCATCGCAGGGAGTGGGATCTGTCTCACTAGATGTGGGTTCCTGTATCTAAACAGGACTCCCTGGGCTGCTGTAAGTCTCTGTATGGAGTCAGAAGAATCACATCCCGAGCTCCTCTTACCGTATGAACTAAATAACCTAGATGACTAGTCCAAACTTAGCTGCAGATATTCAGATTTAGGGGAGATTAATCCCATGAGTCTGTTTTATGACTCCCATATAGCAACACGTGAGGAGAAAAGCTGCACAAGCTGCACAAGCTCATTTGTTGGAGGTTCTAATTGTCACCCTGTGCTGATGAAGCAGTAGCATTGGAAAGCACTGAGGAAAACGCGAATAACAGGTTTAAAAAATGTGACACTGGAATGAGAGGCAAAAAGCAGCGCACCTTTTTGTCATAAGGAGCTGAAATGAAGGAATTTAAAGGGAAGAGAGACGTAGCAATCCTCACGTCACAAAAGAGTGCTGTGAAGATGATGACCTGTGGGTTGTGACTACTGGTGGGCTCAGGACAAGCACAGCCCTGCTACGTGTAGGTGTGGGAATGGCCCTGAGCTGTGTGGGTGACCCTGGGCCCTCGCTCTTGCAGCCCCGCCAATGCTCAGGTTCTACAATTCAGCGATTTCCTTCATTTTCTGACAATTAGGAAGCATTTTGAGAAGCACTGAGCAGCTCATCACAGACACCCTGAGGAGGTCGCAAGTCTGAAATCACACAAACTATTAAAAGGAATTCTGTCTGTTCTTCCAAGGCAGCGTCAGTGCCAGACCTTTTAAGAGCTGTGAAAGCATTGCGACAGGCCCAAACTGTGGGTCCGGGGAAGGACAGCAAAGTATCAACTGCCAGTGTAGGAGCTTGAAATGCTTCGGATTTATTCTGCTACCTGCTTGCTGGTGATGGCAACAGGAAGGATGGAAGCTGCGTGCATAAGACCACGGAGAAGTATAAAGAATCAAGGCACCTCACTTCTAAGAAAGCAGAGCTTGGACAGTTCCCAAAGGGCAAGCTGTAATTACCAGGTACTCCCAAAATAGATCTTTTCAGAAGGCACAAAAATTCCTGGATTAAATATCTCAGGAGCTTTCACAACTATTTCTGGTGACATCGCTGACATGAGTTAGACTCCACAGAAAGCTCAAGGGTTTTTACTGGAATGAAGCAAAGAGCCTCACACTTAGAAAGCTCTAACATACCCCAGCAAAAAGCATCTGTTTAGGCACTGCTTACCTTGAAGATCTGAAGTACGAGGTACGATTACACAAAATTAAGGTCACTGAGAGGCAATACTATCAACAGCATTAGTAGACACAGTGATTTCATGCGGGCTGGCATTTTGTTCCTTTCATTTCTCCAAGCACCAGACTGTTGCCAACAAGCAGATTGCAAGTCACGTCAGAAGCTTTAAGCCAACCGTAACTCTGCTTCTGAAGCTCTCGCACAAAGCAACTCATGGCAAGATAATTCTCTTTCCTTAGAAAGGTCACGCTAAGAAAGACAGGAACATGACATCAATCATCTACACCACTTGTGATCCAGTCTTCACTTCAGCTGTCTCAAGGGCTGAATAAAATCTGTGTACAGCCCAGTGAAACTCTACAGATAACCCCAGCAGGTCCTTCCCCTTCTCTGATGAGAAAATCCATCTTACACATAGAAAGCTTTCCCACTTGCTCCTCCACAACAATCTGTAGGGAAGGATACATTAAATCAAGCGAGGGAAACCCCCAGAATCCTCAAACAACACACAAGGGGAATTCTCGCCATATGTAAGCGTTACAGTTTCAATAAAATCGGCCAACCTTGGTAACATTTTGAACAGCCATTGAAAGAAACCCATAGAAGCTATCACAGACAAGGTTTTGTGTAAACAAGAAGGGCCCCAGCTCATTCCTGGAATGCAGGGAGAACTCCGAACAGCTGTAACTGTGTATTCAACATGCAAGTGCTACATCACGCAGCATCTGATAGCGCTACACCCATCAGATCCAACAGAGATTTGGGCAGAGTTATTCTGCAAACATTTTTTTTTTCAGACCAAGACAGGTAAAGAAAGAGTTTCTTTACTTTTTGTTTTGTTTTGTTTTGTTTTGAGGAATGAAATACTTTAACAAACGAATGTGCCCTGATTGTGAAAAAGAACTGTCACTTTTTGGTCCAGACGTGGTCATGTCCCATATGTCTGCTCAGGCAGAGATACCTGTGCTACAGACATGCAAAGCGAGGTGAGGCAACCCTTATGTTTAAAACTCACAAAAACAAACAAGCAAAAGCCAGCTGCGGTAATTATTGTAACTAATTGCTTACAGCTTTAATGCAAGCATCAGTTTTGTAGCTTGTGATTTAACATCTCAGATTGCATGGAGAACTCTTACCCAGTTGGCTCTTTTTCCTTCCCAGAACAGGCTCTTCCTACTACTTGATGTAGATAAAGTACCCCCAAGAGATGCGTGACCTATTTGAGCCACCCTGAATAAGACTTTTTTGAAGTTAAATGTATTTTTCAACTCGCACTAAGCAGCATTAAGTATTTTTGCTTTCTTCTTGTTATCCAGGTACTCCATTCTACCTACAAGCATTAAAGAGGGCTTCCTTTCAGCTTGTAGCAGCACTTGGCCTATCACCTGCAGTTTCAGCTATTAAAAATATTCTGACATTCAGCAGTAATTAGAGGTGAATTTTTAAAGTATTTGGTTCAAGCATTTTCACCAAAGAGAGACCTGCTCCATTCACGACATACAATCACCGCCATCCCAAGGAAGCCATTGTAGCCATGTGCTGCATGAAGCATTTTCCTCATTTTTCTTACCCATTTCTCTCTTTTAGTGCCAATTACAGCTAGAGGACAACCAGGAGGCACGCTGACACAAAGCCGTTTTTTGCATAAAAAAAAAAGATTTCACACTCAGTTTATTCTAGCTTAGTCCTGAATATATCAGCCTGAAAAAGTAAATAAAAAGAAAGCCCCTTTGGTTATGTTTCTCCTGTAGCCATATCGCAATAACCTAGAAGGAACACTGCCAGCTTAAAGGACTGAATTTACTTTAAAAGAATAACAAAATTATGTGCAGCCTAAACCAAAAAAAAAAAAAAAAGAGAGAGAGAAAAAGCTATTTTCTCCCCCAGATTCTGTCATGACTAATCTATGGGCTGAGGCTCTCAGGGGTGGCAAAACCTCATAAACTTCCTCTAAGGGGGTCATCAAAAACATCTCCAAGAAGCAGGACTCCTGAATTCATGGAATACCTCCAGGAAACTACCGGTGACTGGGTAGCACTAGGATGCAACAAAAACATTTCAGCATCTGGAATGGAAGGCCTCGAAACTCACCAGTGTCACCTCTGCAACTTCTCACCTTTTGTTCCTTCCAGTCTTTTGTGCGACAATTACTAGCAAAAGAAAAAAAGGCAGAAGCTTTTTCTCAACCTAAGGTGAGAGGCTTAGAAAAAAAGACATTAAAATTCAATGACATTCTTGGTTTATAAGGAACGTCTGAAGTGGCAGTGGGAAACCAGGAAAAATGGGCAAATGAGACAGGAGTTAACCTACCAAAAACGTTATTTTATTTATTTCTGCTGACACTGTTCAGTGCCAACATCTAATATATATATTTTGGACAAAAATTTTGTTTTGTTTAGTTTTGTTTTTAAATTCACCATAGTAACCTTTTCATTATGGAGATAGCATTTATGACCAAAAAGTCCTCACTGTCCTCCCCTGAAGTTGGGAAATAACAGCCAGGGCGTATCTAAAAGTGAGACAAAAGGGTGCATGCCACTTCTCGAGCCTTTCTTATCTATCCTAAAGATCCACCATGCTTTTCTTAACGTGAGAGTAACAGGCTAGGAAATACCAGGCAATATGGAAGCATCGACTGAGGGATGTTCTAATACCAAGTGTGGTGAATCACCTCTTTTTTTTTAACTGCTATATAAATAGCCATCACTCACTCTGCACAACAACAGTCCTGTGGCCCTCCTTCCCTCCCCGTCCCCCACCCACAAACACATACGTCAGCACCCGGTGTATTTTTAACAGCCTGGTTTCGGTGTACAACTTCCTCCAGGAAACGTTAACCTCGCACACTCAAAGCAGCACGCTGCGCGACTGCTGAGTAACAGCAGCACGAAGGAAGCCCGACTTCCAGAAAAAAATGCCTTTCTGCAAGATGATGCACGCAATGCTGCGAAGTTCCCTCGCACCGTGCCCCTAAAGCAAAGGGTCTCTCCAGCATCCAGCTTCCCCTCAAAAGATTCTCTGGGGATTTGAGCAGAATTGGCTTTATTCGCCTTAAACTCAGCTTATAAACTCTGCACCCCGGCGGGAAGAAAAGCCTGCCACAGAATCGAGCTCTTACACACTGTGATAGGACAGAAGTATCTGTGTCATCCAGCAGCAACAGACTGCCTGGGAAGTCACGTCCACTTGAGCCAGACTGCCCCTTAGAAGCTGGCAGCAGTCTGCAGCACTCTGAAGCAGCGTATTCAAGCAGAGAATCGACGCATTTGAAGTCCAGACTTTTCTTTGGAGGTGTCTGTTGGCCTTCGTTAACCAACAGGGAGCCTGAATCGCATGCAAAATTGAGATGGATCCAGGCGGAAGAGAGGTAAAAGGGGAAAAAAAAAGAAGAAAAAGTGTTTATTTTTCAGCTTGGGACGGTTGGAAGGGTTTTCCGTCTGTTGCCAAAGAAATGAATAGCAACTTTTCAGAAATACTGGAAAGCGGAGTCTTTGTCCTTTGCACTTCGCTGGTCACCATCTGCTGTGCTCAACTGCACCACACAAAAAGCAGATCTTTTTGTTTTTAAAGAGAAAACCTATAATGATATTTCACTATTTGTCCCAGTCATTTCTGCAAAGTAAAACTTTGATCCAGAGTCTTGATATCATTGTAACTCCAGTCTGTGATGGCTGTAAAAGAGGCTTTGCTTGCTTGCAGCAGTCGTAGCAGATCAGAGCCCTCTCGAGCGGCGTGCCGCCTGCCGCCCTGCTCAAGTGCCAGCTGCTTCAGAGGAACCCGCGCACGGTGCTGTTGTGGAGGAAGTTGCCCAGAAGGAAGTTGTTTTCCTAAACACCTGCCCTGCGTGGAATTGCTGTTAAATCGGGTTCTTCATCTTGGCAAGAGCTCGTACTGCTCTTCAGCTTCTCCTCCTGCAAACTGACCAGAAGCAGAGAAACACTGAGAGCGGGGCGCTGACTGCCCCATATTAAGGAATTCCTGCCTTGGTGTGTGGAAACACCCTTCCCTTAAAGTTCTGTGTAGCAAGAGGGAACAATTTGATTTATTTTTAACCGATTAGCTTGAGATGCTAAGTACAGAGGGAACAAATTTTGGTCCTCTCTCGCTTTGGAACACTAGGAGGAAATTGTAGCAAGTAGATGCTGTGACCAGACTTCCTGGTGGGTGATGGGGAAGCAAGAATATGAGTAAACACTGAGGAAGACACATCTATGCACAGAGCAAACTGCAAACCACATCTCTGACTCAGCAGAACATACCAACTACAGGCTAATTGGCAAGGAAACAGGATCCCCATCATGTTTTTTTTCACGTGTAGTTGAAATAAGTTTGGTGGAGTACTGCAGTAGCCTATATGATGGCAGTAGCTGGCCTGCAAGCACCACCACAAAACTATAATTTTATCAAGATCTCTTCATGGAAGGAAAAGTTTTAAGCTGGAGAAATAGCATAAGGCTTTACAGGCCTTTGCTATTCAGCCCCAAGACACCAACTGCAGTGCTGGTGTGACACTTCCTGCACGCCTCACAGTGCTGCTGGGTGCAGAGAGCGGTCGTACATGCTCACAGCCACTCGAGGATCCGAGAGACCTGGGACATCTCCCCTTCCAGTAACTCTAGCAGATTCTCTTTTCCTAGATTTTCCTAGATTCCAAGATTCCGGCCACTTTGCATTCCTTCCCATCTCTGCACAGCCTCCACCAGCTCCAGACACAACCTCTCCTGTCCCAGGCACTCCACTGCATCCTTCCAGGTGGTGTGCTGTAAGATTCTGGCAGACACAGATTCTCTCGACATGCTGCTTTGCAACTTACCTGCTGCGTTAAACTGACATGGAAACGGAGCAAAGCAACTCTGAACTGTAAGGCTTGTGGTTTCCAGCCAGGATGTTTGGGCCACGAGTGGTTACCAGAAGGGGAGACCTGGTAGGGGAGCTCACCAACCTCTAACTGCAACACGACAGCACTGACACCTCAGCTGGATCTCCAGGATCTCGCCACAGCCAAAGGAGAGCTGGCGGTGCGGTCACCGGAGCTCCAAGCACTGCTCATCTGAGCAAACGTACCCATTTCCTTTAGGGTGAGGTGAATCACCCAGATGCACAGAATGCATCGCACAGCTCTCCGCTGACCCAAAAAGGGAGCGCCGGGTGACTCTCAGAGAAGCTGATGTAGAAATATTTAACGCTGTTGAGCTGCCTGTGGTATCCATTTTCTGAGCTCCAGTTGCCACCAGCACTGGGTGAAACAACTGGAGGTGCTCCAGCACTAAATGCAGAACGTACTGGGAAGCACTTCCCACTTGTGGGGCAAAGAAAACCCCAGCACAAAGCCTTCAGACTGCTGAAGCACAACATTTTATTCCATACAGAACTGGAGGGCTAAGGGCCACGGCCGAATTACGATGGCACAGACGTCACTCACCACTTGTCACTCTGTGCTTGAGCCACGTAAGAGTGTCTTTGTACGGACACAGCAGTGATAATGGCAACATATTTGAGCTAACCACTGGAGATGTCAGCATGAGTAATACTCAAAAAAGCCTCTTCTTCACTGGGGAGCTTGGTTTCCATCGTGTACTTTGCTCCCCGGCCACCTGCTTACTTTCGTTTCTTGCCCTTCTTTTTGGGGGAGCCAGGCCAGGGAAAGCCCCGCAACTCCAGGCAGGCGGGGGCGTTGTGGCAGACGTAGTAGGCGTTGAGCATGGCGGCTGGGCTGAGGATATCCACGTCCTTCACCGCCTTCTTCCCTTTCTTTTTGGAGCTTTTGCCTTTGGCACGCTTGGGCTTACTACTTTTACCCGCCTGCAGAGAGAAAATGACCACAAAAACACACAGTTAGCTCTGCATCTGGATCGTTTGGATTCTGGGTAGAGGATCCTGAGACATCCTCAACAGCTTCACTGCATCATGGTCCTGGCTTGCAGCATTAGCTCAGAGCCCCCCACCAGCCTCCTGTACTTTGTGGTGATTTTATGTAGGGACTACCAAGCATTAAAACACTTTCACCAAATCCATATTTGCTCTATAGCCTGTAAGAATCTTTCAAGTCATCAGACAGGGATGATTAGTGTTCCGCCGTGCTTCTGTCGGGCTAAAAAAAGGGTTGTGCATAATGGAAATCAAGCATTCTTTTCAATTGATTTTTTAATTAATGCATGCTGCTCCTCTACCGCTGACGGTAACACAAATCTAAACAGCAGCTCTGCCATTCTCTGTGTAGGAAGCGGGGCTGCTAAAACTCATCCAGACCCTGGAGCGGGCCAAAGACTCCCGTTAACTCCACCTGAGGAGTGCTGCTGCCTGAACACCCAGCCTCGTGCCTCCAAGAGGGGTTTGCCAGCCTCTGATTCACTCCCAGGATTATTTTCTCACCCACCCTGGGCACTCCTCGCAGGAAGCCTGGAGTATGTGTGCGTGGAAGACGCTGCCTCCAGGTGCTGAGCGACAGAAAGCAGCTCGGGGACCCGCAGGGATCTCTCCTTGCTGCTGTGTGGGCAGGAAAAAGGTGATGGCAGCACAAAGCCACAAGGTGGGCAGCGTCCCAGGAATGGATAGAGCAAGAGCTAGCCCCAGAGAAAAGGCCGGACAGGAGCATTTGCACATCACGAGTGACCGAAAGTATTCGACCCTTGGTCTGATGCCAAGAGCACTTTTTGTACACACCAAGTCACCTTCTGCATCTGCCCACCCGTTTCTGTTATTTGACTAACTTTGCACACCACTAATTAACAGTTCTGTGCGATTCATTCAAAATAAAACGGATGGGTGCGAAGGCCGTATGCAGCTATCAGCCAAGCAGAAAAAAAAAAAATAAATAGAAATCATGAGGTCCATATAAAACGCACCACAAGAAGAGAAACAAAAAAGACAGACCAGCAGAAAAAAAACAGAGCGAAAGCTGCAGATGCTGGTGGCATTGTTCCTAAAGTTTCAGTCATGCAGACTGCAAACTACTTGAACCCAGACACGCATCAGAGAGGGCGACAAGCCTTTTATACAGACCTTAATTGGACAGAACTTGTTGAATACTTTATGTGCTGGAATGTGTACACTTCAGAGTGGATGCTGACATCAGATTTTTCAGCCAGCCTCCTGAACCACGCTCCCAGTTTGTGCTCCCAGCAGGGTCATGGCAGATTTTGTGAGCTTAATTAGGTTCCCGGTCAGAACCTGGCCTGTAGCTGCTCTTTCAAAATACAAAAGGTGCTTACAGGTAAGGCCAAACTGTTGTAATAAGTCTGCAGTGAGAAGCAGGGAATGTCTTTGGTCTAAAGCTGACTCACTGCTCCTGCTGTCTCTCTGCAACAGCTACCCCTGACCTCAGGGCTTTGAATGTCAGCAGTCGGTCATTGTCAGCAACTGGCTTTTTCTGTCTCTTATTAAATGTGGTGGCATCGGAAAGCTGCAGTCTGCAGTCAGCTCATGCGCTCCAGCACAGCCTAGAGAAGGGGTTCCCAAAACGTGGGCAGCTAACAAGCTCCTTGACAGCACCACAAACGCTGTCGGATGTCACACCTCGTGTACACATGCACAGAAGGCAGTGCCAGAGCCAATGTGTGGCATAACAGCCAACAGTCCCGGAATTTCTTAAGGATTTATCAGGCAACCAAAGTTGAACAGAGTGCAGCTCTTTTTTTGGCAGTTAGAGGCAGGACTGAAGCAGCTCAGAGTTCCTAACTCTTAAAAAAAACCACCAGGATATCCACATTTGTGTGGTGTTTTCACTCACCCGCAAGGAATTGGATTTGGGGCTTTCTAAGATGCCTACAGACTTTTACAGCCTAGAGTCTGTAAACTGCAAGAAAGATCTAGAAGCCAGAATGTGGGGCAGACTTACACACAACATCAAAGTGTGCAGTTCAGGTTATGCCCTGCAGCCGTGGAACGGAGCCTTTTGGCTATTAACACCCCTTCCTTAAAATGTGGAATCAACACTAATCGGAAGAATCAAACCTGCATTACCATGGTTAAGTCCTGTCAGTGAGCTGGGAGCCTCCACGCTAAGCCCTGAAGATGGTCCCTGCAACACACAATCACGTAGCGAGTCACACACTCTGCAACACATTACTATTATTCGCCCTAAACTTTAGTTAGAGGATAAAGGAAGAGGGAAAATAGGTCCTTGCACAGCCAGGACCCGGTGTGCCATACCTAAAAGCACAGAACCACCACTGAGGTAACTCTGAGCTCTGCCAGGGTCCAGGACTCGGAGCTTCCCTGCACAGATTTTGTGGTCTCGTAGGGGATCTCCCAGCAGATGCCTGGCCAGGGAGGAGAGGAAAGGAGATGAGAAAATAGTAGAGCCTGGGCCACAGCCCCCAATGGCCCCACAGCAAGACCCTACTAGTAGGTAGCAGCAGGGTAGCACAGGGCAGGATCCCACCGCTTCCCTCCACACCTCCCAAAGCCTTCCCGTCCCCTTTCTCCACGCGTGAAAAATTAAAAAAAAAAAAATATTTAATTAAAATTTTTCCTCAGCTTCTTCCCGGCCGGCCCACCCCACAGCAACGCGGCGCTACCCGCACACCCCCCGCCCTGCCGGCGGCGGACACCAAGCGCTGAACGGGTCCGGATCCCGGTCCCGGTCCCGGTTCTGATCCCGGTCCCGATTTTGATCCCGATTTTGATCCCGGTCCCGGTCCCGGTCCCGGCCCCCCCCCGGCCGCAGCTGCCCCGTTACCATGGCGCCCACCCGCGCATGCGCAACCCGCCGCCACCGACCGTTGGGGCGGCAACGGCCGCCTCAGGAAAAGGGCGGGAAAAGCCTCTGAGGGGATCGAAACCGCTCGCTGAGGGGCATTGGAGAAATAAATACATTAAATAAATACATTTTTTTAAAAAGTACCACAGTAGTTTTTATTTTGGAGAAAGAAGTTGCCGGTTTTTTTCAAAGGTTGTGGGAAAAATTGGGTTTTCACAGAGTTTTAAGTGAGCTTTTGTGGAAAAAAAAAATTAAAAAGCTCAAATTTGTGGGCAAAAAGCCTTGGGTTGGGGTATTTGTGGGCAAAAATTACAAAATTGAGTTGGGGTATGCCAGGCCTTCGGCTTTTGGGCTGTGCTGGACGAGGCACAGCTCACACCTCTGTGGTCTGCGCTGCTGGAATGTGTTAAACCAGCATCACGTACCACAGAAACATTTTTAAAAACGACCTTTGGGCTGGGTTGAGTTGAGAACTGCAGTTTCAGAGAGCAGGTATCAAACAGAGCTTGGACGTTTTCCAAAAAAAATCTTAGAGTGATAAAAATTTAAGCTGATATCCGAGGTATAAGTGAAGCCACGTGAAGTTGAGGGGTCACAGGGAGGAGCAGGCAGCTGAAGGGCTGATTTTGTTGCTCTGCTCCTTTTTTAGGGACTTTTTTTTTTTTTTTTTTCTTTCCCCACAACCAGGGTACTACTCACAAATACTGTTTTTGTTAAATGGGTGTGAGGCAGGTTTCTGTTCCACATCCCTCAGCACCAGGCTTCCAGTGCTGTGCGCTCCCATCTGCAAAGCAACAGGAGTCCAAAGCAAAAAGTGGAAAAAGCGAAAAGTGTCAGGAGCTGAATCACCTTATTTATTTATTTTATTTATTTATTTATTTTAAATTTTAAACAAATAAAAAGCTCGTAATCATGCTATTGCCAAACCCTGACACTTCAGTGAGTCTGCCTAGAACCTGGTTCCATTTTTATCAGATGTTAACCTCTTGCAATCTGCTTTCTTGTCCATAAGCCCATAGAATGCACTTTATCGTATTTTCAGACTTGTCTTCAAAATCTTTACAGGTAGGAGCTTGGAATTTAGTGCAATTTCCTAAGGAAAAGGGGCTTGTACCGCCTCACAGGCTGCCTGTCATCCCCTTTGCCATGACTTTTGAGGCAGCTCTAACCGAGTTTGACACAAAGCCGAGAGTTCAAATATATTAATTTCCTATGAGTTTCATGAAAATTGTCAGCTGTGCCGAGCGTGGGAGACAGACACTATTAATATCTCGGCTGAGGAAATGTCAGCACAGCTCAGCCCTTCTCTAGGCTGTTTGGCAAGAGCATGTGCTGTTCCTGCAGTGGGGAGGACAACGTGGTATTGAAGGGCAATGGGACATGAACCTGGAGGAAGACGGCTTTGTTTCAGAATAATTTCAACACAAATAAATAAATAAATAAATAAATCCCTTAATTGTGGGAGCTGGAAGCTATAAGATAAGTTTCAAATGACAGGTATTTTAATACAATGCTAAGTACTTCAGACCTATATATATATTTTTTTTTTTTCTTTTTCTTCTTTTTTTTTTTTTTTAAGCATTTTTTGAAATAGAGATGCATTTACTTTTATTTTTTTAATTGGATATAATAGCTGTCCAGCCTTTGCTTTCTCCCCTAGTATAAGAATCGTATATAGTACAGTGTACTATACACATACATTTCAGTAAATCAGCATTGGAAAGGCTTGTAGGTAGAATAAACAATTCAGATTTACAGATACCCTACCATCTTTCCGGCTCTTCCCCTCTTCCTGGCAGCTACAGAGATTGTTGGATTTCTTGCAAACATAAATTTCCGTCTCATGTAATTATAATGATCAATCTGCATTCAGTCATTGCTTTGGATGCTGGTAGGTGATGTGGTTAGAAGGTATGCAGACTGTAAAGAGGCTTTTTAATACCGATAGGAGGTTGGATATACTCGGTTAGGAATGCAGAAGTGCAAGGGGGAACTGAGCAAAACGAAGTGTTTGCAGGGAGAGTAGCTCAGTCAGGTATGCTGAAAATAGGAGGAGATACTGAGCCAGACCTGTGACCTACTAGGTTAAAGCATGGATTAATAAAGAATGACAGATCTCCCAAAAGTGAAAGCAAAAGAAGAGATGAGAACAAGGAAAGCAGGAGTCCACCCAATACATTTAGAGAAGTAAACATGTCAGTGAAAGAAATGAATAATGTGGTAGGGAGGAAATTGTTTGCAGGAAAATAATTACCTGCATGTGGACTAGATATCAAAGGAGGGCAAAGTGACAGGAACGAGGGCGACTGATAGGCTGCAGCAAAATGTACCTGGTGGGGACTAGAGGAAGTCAAAGAGCAAAGGCACTGCTCAGCAAAACACTGGTCTAATGATTATCTCTTTTATCAGCAGGGAAAGTTGAGCCAGCAGGGCAGGCCGAGTGGGGAAATGAGCCCTGGAAACTTTGGAAATAACAACTGGGTCATCACCCAACACCACGGCTGCCTCGGAGCCGGGAGAGAGCAAGGTGTTGCTGAGGAGGACAATTTGAAAGGTATTTTTGAAACACGGAATGTAAACCATCAGATTGTTTGCCTTGAGAAGGAAGGGATTGAGTTAATGGAAAACACAAGTTTGTCTTCCTGAAGTGATGTTAGTTCAGGTACAAGTGATAAGACACGCAGCCCAGAAACACACATCTCAGATTCTTTTACTTCTCATGGATATTTTATTTGCTCTAGCCTTTTCCCTTTCATAACTGCTTTCTGCTGCCGTGGGTGGGATGCAGGTTTTGTTGCACAGGAGAAAGTGCTGCTGGAAGGGAATTGCTTTCTGATCAGTGGGGAGTATCAGACTTCACTGAGGCTAATGAGCACGTTACCTCCCTTCTATTCAGACGAAATGATGGAGCAGCTGAACTGCTTTGTCTTCGGCTGCGAAGGAAAATGAGGGATCCTGTTACCCTGTATCATAGACCGAGCTTGTCAGGGCAATGTAAAAGACAAATCATGGACTAAAGAAGTTCCTTGCCAAAAGGAACAAGGCCTTGGGCTTTGCTTGGTCTGGGTGCATCCGTGGCTGTTGTTTTCAGTGGCTGTCTACTAACACAGCTCCCATATTCTTCATATTTCTCTCCCATTCCTGCCTCTTATGAGGCCACAGATAACGGAATCGGTCAGCCTTCTGAGATGCAAACAGCCCTGCCAGAAGAACCTTCACTGCTGGGGGAAATCTCAGGGGAATCCTGGTACCTGATCAGAAGGAGCCAAAAAAGAGAGAAAGAAGCAAAAGAACAAGAGAAAATAGGGAAAGGGTCAGAAACATGGCTCAGAAATGCTGCCTGTAGACTTTCTAAGTAAAACACTTTTGAACAAAGCTTGGAATAAATAAGGAAATGACGAATGAATAATGAAAAAATAACAAAAATATTTTTGCTCTGTTCATGGAAAAATGATTTATGTAATTTTCTAATCAACAAACCACAAGGCATAAAAGAAGCGATCATAATTACACCCATTGTCTCCTTTTAGCAAAAGCAACTGTCAAATTACCACATTTTACTATTAAGAGTAAAAAGAAGTAACAGCAGTGACAAGTGTGTCAGAAATTAGATCAAGCGTACAAAAATTAGCCTGCACAGTCAACGTGGTTTTTGTAAAGATACTTGGAGCTGGCTACGGAACAAGCTGCTGTTTACAAATGCAAGGGTTTTGATAAATAATTAAGGGAGGTTCCTGCAAACTGGGAGTATAAAGAACCCGGCCTCATAAAGACACCGCTGTAGCTCGAGTTTTATAAAAAAAAGAGTGCTTTAGAGGTCAGGACATCTCGCTATCGTTATTTTTATAGAAATATTCACATAAGGGAACGGAGGGCTATTAGGTTATGGTCCTTTCCACAGAGAGAGTGGAAAATTTACACAGGGGACCGTGTCCAACCAGAGAATCAAATGACTCCTGAGACTTAGTGGGAGGAACTTACTGCCTTATACCCTGTATACCAACAAGTTGATATCTTTTCTTGTATATTTTTAAACATGCTGTCCCATAAGCCATGGAATTACTGAAACCCAGTGTCACACTGGCATGCATCCCTTCCCTTCAGCCCCCCTGCCCTGTCCTTTTCCCAGCCCTGACCCCAGTTCTTTTAGGACTGGGCAGCTGGTCCCTGCTGAACCAAACGAGAAACGCCTGAGCTGCCCTGCTTTGCCTCGGCTGGGGCATTAATAGGGTCTGTCCCTCTGCTCAGATGCCCCCTTTCACAGCTCTCGTAAGAACACAACATCTTTGAGGTTATCCTTTACTCAAATCTGCATGGAATCGGTTAACCAGCTCAAAAGTTGCTTGTAGAGGACTGAGAGAGTAGGAGCGCAATCACCGAGTGCCTTTTATCCCTAGGAAATGAGGCTAAAATTAGGAACAGAAGAATCTTAAGGTACTGAAGATATTGACTTACCAGCCGCAGAGCTTTCTGCAACCACCTGTAGGCTGGAAAAAAAAAAAGCTCTGCAGACAGTTTCAACAGAAACCGAGCACATGCAACTGTTCCTGGAACCAGCAGTCGTGTTTGGGGTAAGATAAGATACGGCTCCTCCAGCTGTACAAAAAAATGTAGAAAACTATAGTCTAGAACTTTTTTTTCTCCTATGTGTCAGAATGATTATCCCCTAATTGCTGCCTTCTGACTCTTTTAGGGAGAAGAAAACCCTCGCTGCGAAGCAAAGAAGTTTTAAGCTGCTACCAGCTCGTGGTTTGAGGACTCGTAGCAGGATGGAGACTTCCCTGGTACTGCTGGAGGAGCAGCAGCTCAGGCTGCCAGGAGGAGCTGGTAAGGGAGATTTCTAGAGGATCCTCAGTGAATACACTGCTGGGATGTGTCTGGGGAAAGTCTTGGCATTATTACTTTGACTTGCAGCTGTTTGTAACTAGAATAAACTTATTAAATAGGTTCCTCTGTTCCTGTCAAAATGGCATTTGCAGCGTGCTGTGTGCTCTGTAGGGAGACCAGCAGCGTTTATCAGCCAGAGCTGACACCCACATTGCCCCTCTTTCCCCAAAGAAACCCTCACGAAGCATGGCCCATCTCAACAGACGTACAGCCTGTGATAAATCCGTGATGAGATAAAGCATTTAAGTTAAAAGTCTACCTTTCCCTAGTTACTTTTTTACATGGAGGTTCAGTTTTTTATATAGAGGTATATTTCCAGAAAGCTTAACTTGTGGTGGAAATTAATAGTATTCAAACATACCAGCTCATACCTCCTTCTACCACATAGATCCAGGCAAGAATTTGTATTTCTATTCCATCCATCAGTAAAGATGGAAGGCACCGATAAGCTATGCAAGCCTCATATGAAGCAGAATTTAAATATAAAATGCAGAAAAATGAACATGGTATCCAAGAGGATAACCAGCACCCACACAAACACTGGGAAAAGGAGACACTTGGTGGTGGGTGGGGAGTTGTGAGCCAAATATGAAGGGCTTTTCTAAGGTTTTGATTCTTTAATAATTAAGCAGCTCCTTTGTCCCCGTGGAGAAACACCTCCGTGCCCTTAGTTTATTAAAACTAAAAGGATTCGATACTTCGATAATACTTCCTTTACACTCACACTTAGCTGTTAGGAACTAAGACTGTTTCCTAAATCACTCTAAAACAGAGAATAGCAGAGGAATGATAAAATAAGTGGCGCAGCTGGAAACAAATATTGGGACTATTTCAGAGTGGGGTCACCATGAGAAGGAAGGAAAAAGGGAACAGTGTCCCTTGTGCCAGGCCATGCAGGGCTCAGCTCAGCTCTCAGGACCCTGGCCTGTGGGGGAAATGGGGGAAAAACTGCACATTTGGTAGGAAAACCAGATGAAGCATCACGGAGAAAATCCTAAACTGTCCAGTTAGTCCTGGGCTCTGTCCCTTAGCACCTGGCTGGAAATAGCAGCATTTATACTACATTTCTACCCCTAAAACAAACAAACAAACAAAATTAACCACCAAATGCAGCATTTAAATTAAGGCGCACAAAGAAAAAAAGTCCCAGCAAATGAATGAACTTCAAAAGTTGCTCTGGTTTATTTTGAACAAAAGCATTTTTAAAAAGGTGAGCAGGTTTACTAATGCTATGTCGTTGAAAAATGTCTTTTGCAAACCACATTCAGGAAACATTCCCAGTTTAATTCTACAGCAATAAGCACGAATCCTGCCGCAACAAATACCTGTGATTTTATCACTTGTGCGCTTGCTACATCGATACAGCTAAAGAGGAGCCGAATTTTACCCGTGCTATATTGACACATTTTTCTTTGACACCAGATCTGGTTTCATAAGGCAGGAAAGGTTTGCCCCAAGTTTCCAAGTCCTGGACCAACAGTGTTTGGTAGAAAGAGGTAAGAATTCTCAGACCCCATCAGGATCCTGAAGGAAGCACAGGGAAGCCTTGCACGAGGGCTGCTGGCCAAGGAGAAGGAACGCAGGTGCTGAGAGGAGGCTCACAGTGGGTTATCCCCTGCCCACGAGGGTTTTTCCTTGTTATAGAGAGCTCTCAGCTCAGTTTGCTATTCATTCGGAGAGCTCCGGACTGCAGCATCTGCTGTTTTCGTCATGTGATGGCAGCAAAGCGTTACCCAAAGCACTCTTCCTTCCCACTTAAAGGAAAGAGCCAAAAACCTGTGTGAAAATCAGGTTATTTTCAGGAAGATGGGGCGTTTACTTTCTCCTCTAGGTTTAGAGGGGCTAAAGAGCAGTGAAGAAAGCAACCTGGAAACCTTTATCCTTCAAAACCAATCAGCCTGCTGCACTTCGGTTCCTTGCATGGACGTTTTAATGGAGCATTTTGATGGATGAGGAAATAATCCTTTACGTGGCATTTTCAGACGTCTTGTAGCTTGGGTCAGTAACTTCTGTGCCAATAATTCTGGGCTTATTTCAGACGGAGAGAAAGCTGGCAATCCATGTCCTCGGCAGCTCTAAGCAACGCACAGCTCACTGTGCATCGTACTCCAGTACAAGGGAGTGAAGCGGTGAAGCAAAGTGGAGCAGTGGTAAAGGTAATTACTATCCCAAATCATCAGCTGTGGAAGAAAGCCTCCAACTCAGGCTGCACGATCCCAGCAGCAGCACTAGCCTGGGGACAAGTGGGAATGTCGTCTCCGTTGGCGAAGTCAACCTGTCATCCCTGCTCCAGTGTCACCTATTTTCCACTTCATCAGGGAACCAGGGCGCCTTGCTCACAGCTGTAGGGTGTCTGGAGCACATTCTTGGACATCCGTAACTGAATTAATGCAAATAAATCAAGCATAAATAATCATCTGGGGGAGATGGAGACCTTCCACTGCTGAGATTCTCTTAGGACAAACTTGCATGCGTGAACCAAGCAAAGGGACAGCCCAGACTTTGATCTCTCGTGCACTGGTGTAAATCTGGAGTGAAAACCAGATGAGGATGCTGCTGACACTGCCACCAGCGTGATGCTGAAACCTGGTCCTTGGCCTCTGTGCAGGTCCATCGCTACCACACCAAGAGGTCACCCCAAAGGGAAGCCCTCCGAAGAGATGGCAGCTGCGTACCAGGGAAGTTTGGGTAGACACAAAGAGGCCTGGCATCTTTAGAAAGACGGTCACTTTTTTTTTCCAGCCTTACTTAGGAACCCCCAGGTCCCAAATCACCTTCGTTTCCAGCCCTGGGGTCCTCACCGGGGTGGGACGGCGGCTCTCACTGGTAGTGCAGCAGCTCTTCCCAGCGGATGGGCTGGGAGAACACCTCCCGCTCCAGCCACAGCTCGTAGGAGCAGTGGAAATCCTCGGGGAGCTCCAACCTCTGGCCCAACACGCTCTGCAGGCAGTTGTCCACCGGCGCAAACTCCGAGTCCTGGGGCTTGTCGTACCTCCGGCTGTTGAAGGCTTCGATGTTGGCTCTCAGGGTGCACTCTTCAGCCTGGAAGTCCCACGGTCTGGCATCGATATCTAGGTTCAAGAAGAAACAAGACCATGGTGGTGTCGTGGAGAAAATGACTCTGGTATGGCTTGAGCAAAAGAAAGGATGGAGAATTTACAGCAGTCGTGTGCCTGAACTAAAAACAGTATTATATTAGCCAGTTGGTTATTCCTAATTCTACGGTAATTATTATTCACAACCAGTTGCTGCTATGCATGCATTTATTTTAAGGTATTTAAATGAAATATATTAAAATCACTTGTAAATTCAGCAGAGTCTGAAAACTTCATACAGAAATGCATTTATTTCTGGCCTTCAGCATGCTTTAAGGACTCCGTCCCATTACAAAGCTCCTGCTTTTTTTGGAAAGGCCCCACCACTTTTACCAAAAACCTCCACGGATGTCTTGAGACAGAGATCAAGACTGAAAGCTTATAGCTAAAACCTCACAAATTTATTCAAAGCTACTGAAAACAAAGGCTTTTAAATCTGGGGCGAGGTTGGGAAGCTAGCAGCTGACTAATAACCACAATATTTTAAATGTGTATTATTACGTAAATATGTAACATTTCCAAAAAATTAGCATTTCAAAATTTGGTCTTTACGAGCTCTAAACCTATATGAACCAGCCAGTCGCTCCACAAAGGGTCAGCAAACTCATTGGCAAGGTCTCAGCAGTGCTGAGGAGAGGGAGAAGTCCAAGCTGCGTCTCAATCCAGATACACCAAGCTAAAAATAAACCCTCGGGGAAAAACCCTTCCGGATCTCATCTCGGAAAGCCAAGTGCTGGCACGGCAAGGCGGCCAGGTCAAGAAGCAGCCCCTGCTGAGTACTGAATTATGCGATCGCGGGCATAAAGAAGCCCTGCTGCTGCCTTCAGCCCTGCAGGGAAGATGAGTGAGCTGAGCAAGGCAGCGAGGCGAGAGAAATCCCCGTGAAGGAAAGGGAGTCCCCAGCCTTCCCCAGCCCTCCGGCTCTTTGGGCATCTGGGGAACTCCAGCCTTAAAATTAAAAATAGCGAGTCTAGTTTTGATTCTTCCGAATCGGTGGCACAGCGGTATCACAGCTCTCCAAAGCACACCCGTCTTTGAAAAACAAATTATATCTTTCACAGTGGAAATTAACACCCTAATTATAATGCCTCTCTCCCCTGGAAGGAAGGCTTTGTGTTAGGCTTTCACTTCTTGCCCTTTCTCCTTTTGAAACAGGGATGCTACCCAGTTTTTCTGTTTAATCCTCTTTAAAAAAAAAAAAAAGATGTACACAAAGCAATAGTTCAGGACCTTGTTATTAAGCCTTCTAAAAATACAGCTTTAGGCCACGGAAGAGCTGTTTAAACAGACCGGCACGTCTTCAGCTTAAGGATCCTCAGCATCCGCCACCCAGATCCCAAATCTGTGGCTGCCCCAAGCACTTGTGTTTGGTTTGGAGCCAGTCAGTGCCTTGAAGGCAAAAGGGATCGGTTTGGGAATGCAGAATTGGAGGGCTGGGCTTGGTGGAAACTCATCTTGAAGACCTCGTGTGACCATATCCCAGCCTGATCTGATTATTCCCAACTTCCTCGTGCAATTTTGCCCCTCCTGATGGTGCCGAATGGTGCCTTAAGGCCTCCGAAAAAAATCCCCAACCAGATTTATGGGATCCCAGCAGGTCCTAGGACAAAACACGCCCGAAACCCAACACGATGACTGTGCCACCGTGTGCAGGACGCGTCCCCGGCTCTGCTCACCGTTGCCGTAAGCCCAGTCGTCGTTCATGCGGTGCCGCACCTTCTGGTAGATGGCCGACATGGTTTTCATGTTGCTCTTCCTCCACTGCCGCCCCAGGTACTTGGTCTGGATCTTCAGCAGCTTGAGGACGTAGAGCTGCATCATGGCCTGCTTCACCTTCAGCGCTCGCTTCAGTATCGGGGCCGACTTGAAGACTACCAGCATCTGCCAAGAAAGCGACTCAAGGTTGAGGCCACGAGCTCAGGAAAGCAAAGCAAACGCTGCCTGTGCAGCACTGGGAGCTACACATCATACAAACCCCGAGCAGACGGAATAGGGGTGGTCACCATATCCCAAAACTGCTGTAGGGACATGGAGGATTGTAAAAAAAAAAATTCTGTTTTCAGGAGGAAAAGTATTTCTCCATCTTACCATCGTCCTCGAGTGTTTCCACTTGGTCAGCTTGTTGAGGATCCTCAGCAGGTTGATGCAGGAGAATAAGTTTCTCCAGCAGAACTGGTTGTTGTCTCCGGCTTCCTGCAAGAGGAGAAGGAAGAGGGTAACCCCGTGCTGAACGCCCTCCCTGCTGCTCTTCGGTGGCCCAAATCTCATTTTGGATGAGCAGCGGAGCCACCTCCTCGCCTGGGCTATCATCATCCCCAGGAAAAGTGCTCTGAAAGCCTCGGACAAAAATCATCATTTTTAGTTTGTATTTGGGTCTAGAGGAGGGCCCAAGATAAATCACGTTGCTCTGTCATGGGGAATATAGATATATATATATTTTGGTAGATTTGTGTTGTTTTACGGAGAAAATTACAGCCTAGACATCACCGCTGCTTGGGGAACGGCTTTTTGTTAATTATATAAATTGATTCTTAAATTAACACATGCTTAGAGGACATATGATGGACAAATAAAGACAAAAGGATGACAAACGGCAGCGCTCCTGTTGGGAGGACGGGACGCTTCTGTACCAGAGAGCCTCGCCAGCTTAAGTACATTCAGCCCCTATGTTATTTGAAATATTAGCTGTATAATTTTAAATATTAGCTGTACATCAGCACCCATGGCTCCGGCTTGTGTAAACAGCGCTCGTGGCATGTTTGAGCTGTAATTCCAGCAGCACAGTGACCTGTTCTGTTTGAACAGCACGAGTGTCCCACAAATAACCTACTTGGGGCTGAGAGCAGAAACGAGTGCTGCTTAATTTATAAGCCACTTACAGCAAGCTGCAGCCTTCGCCACGGAAAAAAAATAAAAAAATAAAATCCTGTTCACGTTCTGGGCAGCCTCGGGAGGAGAGTTTGGATGAGACGCTTCTATCAGCGCCTAATCCAGCTCTGAAGCGAGATTTACCAAGAAAATCCTGCCCGTGTAATACCTTTGTTCTTAAAAGCAAGCATCAAACCCCTCGTTTCGGTAAGCTGGTAAAAGTGCTGGCGTATGTGTAACCTGTAGAGGCCAACGAGAAATAAATCCGCCAGTTGGGAGCACTGTAATGCCGGGATTTGGTAAAAAATCACTCGGATAAAATGCGCTCTTCTGCCAGCAGAGGCTACGGCTGTGCTGGAGGCTCCTGCACAGCAGGCAGGATGTCACCGAGATGTCATCGAGATGTCATCGAGATGCCACCAAAGGGGAGGCTCCTGTTATCCTGCCAGGATTCATCCACTCCTGATTTATAGGGTGGGAAGAGCAGCTACCGACAGCCAGGGGGTCCCTCCTCTGGGAATGGCACTGAAGCAAACCAAGCACGCCCTCCTGTATGCTGCCCACTGAAAGCAAAATGTGTTATGGCTGCGATGTTAAAATCAGTGTATCAGGGTTAAAAAAGAAAGAAAGGAAGAAAGGAAGAAAGAAAGGAAGAAAGAAAGGAAGAAAGAAAGAAAGAAAGAAAGAAAGAAGGAAAGAAAGAAGGAAAGAAAGAAGGAAAGAAAGAAGGAAAGAAAGAAGGAAAGAAAGAAGGAAAGAAAGAAGGAAAGAAAGAAGGAAGGAAGGAAGGAAGGAAGGAAGGAAGGAAGGAAGGAAGGAAGGAAGGAAGGAAGGAAGGAAGGAAGGAAGGAAGGAAGGAAAGAAAAAGAGAGAGAAAGAGGAAGAAAGAGAGAAAGAAAGAGAGAAAGAGAGAAAGAGAAAGAGAGAAAGAAAGAGAGAAAGAGAGAAAGAAAGAGAGAAAGAAAGAGAGAAAGAGAGAAAAGCCCAAACTGCTTAAAATGTTGGCTGAAGAAAAGAAACACAAACACATGCACAAACACATCTCTGAAGAACCAGGTTGTATTTAATTATTATAAAAATTCAGGGTCTAATTAATAGGAATACACCCTGCATCATTTCTAGACGTGGAGTCAACCAATAAAAGCAAGGGGAAAAAAAAAAAAAGGAGAGAAAAAGAAAACTGGAACTTAATTGTCACCTGCCTGAACCTCTCCAAGTAGCTCACCCTGCAGGAGCCCTCCCTAGCAGCAGCCCAGCCTCAAATTCCCACTTTCCGAGGGAAAAAAAAAAGGCAGATTTAAGTTTCTTCCAACCAGACATCACATTTTCCTTGAGGGGCCCTGAGATCCTGCATTCACGAGCATCCTCCCCGAGGCGTGCTCACGCAGCAGCTCTCCCGTCGGAGAGCTAGTCTGGAGGGGTTGGAAAAGTCTAATTTGGGACTGGCTGGGTATAAAGAGGGCAGAAATAATCAAAAATAATCCTTCCTCACCTTCCCCCATAGAACAATACCGTTACAAGGAGCCCTGCTTACCAGGCTTTCTGCAGTGAGCTCGGGCAAGTCGTGGACCGTGCAGTGCGGATAATCCAGGACGGAGATGCTGCGGAAGATGGGAAAGGAGGGACTCGTTACGGAACAGGTCGGTGCAAGAGCAATTTTTTAGGATGATCTATGAGGCTACCGCCAGCAGCATCCTCCTGGGCTCCCAGCACCACCGCTGCCTAACGGAGCACACCGAGCCCATCCCGAGCCTGTCCCAAGCGTATTAGTGAGGGCTCGGAGGATTTGGATCCACTAATATGTGGCAGATCAGTTACTCAGATGGACGCACACACAAAAAAAAAGAAAAAAGAAAAAAGGAAAAAGAAAAAAGGAAAAAAGGAAAAAAGAAAAAAGGAAAAAGAAAAAAGGAAAAAAGGAAAAAAGGAAAAAAGAAAAAAGAAAAAAGAAAAAAGAAAAAAGAAAAAAGAAAAAAGAAAAAAGAAAAAAGAAAAAAGAAAAAAGAAAAAGAAAAAAGAAAAAAGAAAAAAAAAACACAACTAAAACCAACAACAAAACAAACAAAAAACACAAAACCAAGCACATACAAAAAGCAGATCTTGGGTTAAAATGCAGGTATCTGGCAGAATATTTCCAGCAAGAAAATGCACGGTAAGGGCATCAGGTCTTTCCTGGCCTTCCAGGTTTATTGCCTTTGTAAAAGTAGCCAACCAAAAGATTTTATATATTTTTAATATAAATTATATATTAGATATAGTTATAAACTATATTAGATTGTTTATATTTTATATATATTGATAGTTTATATTATATATACATATTTATTTTGTTTGGCTATGTATATTATATATTAAATAATATATATATATAATATATATATATAACATATATACTACATATATTATATAAATGATGTATATAATATACAATATATAATATATAGCTATACACTCACTGATGCTATCCATGCCCCAGGACATGCAGGGATCTAAAATGAAGCGTGCACAATCAATCACACAGCTTCAGCCCTTCCATCCCCTTCTTTGCCACTTTCTGCTTTGAAGCCCAGCAGCTGAGCCACAGCTCAGCCACCACCAAATTTAGGATAGAGACATGGGGGTCGAGAGATGCCCTAAGCCAGGCTCCACCTCAAGCATCAGCCTGAGGGAGTCAGGAAAGCTGAATTTTGGCTACAAAAAGCAGAGAAGACGCAGAAGGCTCTGCCCCACTTTGCCTTTGTGGAGCTGTGGTCCACAGATGCCCGGGGACAAAAAAAAAAAACACTTTACAGGCCACATAGAGATGAAAATCAGCCCAATGAGAGCCAGATGGGTCTGGGCGTACCTCAACAGGGGCTGGAACCCCCTGCCCAGCCTTCCCCATCAGCGCTCACTCAGCCCCACCGCGTGTTTGGGGTCCTCATGCACATTCCTCCCTGCTCCACCACCTCTCTCTCTCCCCCAGCAGTGGCTGTACCTGTTCTTGGCAGTGATATAAGACATGATGTTTTGGTTGAAGAACTTCAGGATCAGCGGGATGCAGTTGGCAAACACCAAATGCTGGGACACGTACTCAAACTGGGGGAGAGAAGCGAGACGGGTCAGCGTTAGCGGGACCAACGGGAGCGTGCGCTGGGAATGGAAACCCATTTCCAGTTGGAAGCGACGCGGCCTCGATGGTTTGCTCTGGACACCCAAAAAACCATCCTCCCCGTGCAGAAGTCTGCTGCATCAGGCTCGCACCGTCTACAACAACTCCCACCGGCGGCGAAATTGCATTTGCCATACAGCGGACATCCAGCCTCTGTGTTTTAGGGATAG